ATTACTTTAGTTCTCTGAACTTGTTTTTCATTGTAAAATGGAAAACATAATATTTTCTACCTCTCAGGATACTGGATGGATTAATCAGGTGATGAATGTAAAGCATTAAACATAGTTCTAGGTACCTATAAAATGTTCGGTGGAAGTTAGCTATTATTAATACTAATACTTTCTTCTAAATCTGAAAGGATATCTATGGCTGATTTACTCAATCTCTAATTTTTATTTGATGCATTTCCACAAAAACAAATTGAGATCATTTTCCTTCACTTCCAGGAATATACAACCTTCTACAGATGAAAATTCAGCACAATACTAAAGATGAGTTTTAGTTGAATGCACCCTCTAGTGGTATACACTATGTGCAAGAACCTGGTGTCTACAAAAGAAAACCTCTTTATGAAATGTCAGGTTCTAGGTTGACATTTCCTGATGGCTCAGCAGGTAAAGAATCTGCCTGCAGTGCAGGAGACACGGGTTCAATTCCTGCATCAGGAAGAGCCCCTGGAGAAGGAAATGGCAACCCGCTCCAGTATTCTTGCCTGGAGAATCCCATGGACAGAGGAGCCTGGAGGGCTGCAGTCCATGGGGTTGCAAAGAGTGAGGCATGACTAAGCACACAGGCATGGCAGGTTGACATTTAGAGCCTGAAGACAGCCAGTTAAGAAAAGGACGGTGTAAACAGCACTCTCATACATCTTCCAGGCTTCCCTGCTGGCTCAGACAGTAAAGAATCTGCCTGCAGTGCAGGAGACCTGGGTTTGACCCCTGGGCTGGGAACAGTCCCTGGAGAAGGGAATGGCTACCCACTCCAGTATTCTTGCCGGGAGAGTCCCATGGACAGAGGAGACTGGTGACAGTTCATGGGGCCACAAAGACTTGGACATGGCTGAGCGACTAAACATGAATGCTTTCATCTTTTAGGAGGCTTCTTCTCTTCTAGAGCTGGAGGAATTAAAAAAATTTTTTTTCTTAACTTTTACCCCCGTAAGACTTAGGATATTTGTGATATTTACCATATCAAATTCCAATATTCCTGTAGCATTGACTTTAATCTTTCCTCTTAAAATTGAGTAATTTTCTAGCTTACTTTACCAAGCATTGCAAAATACTTAGTCTTCATTTAGTTAACAAACCATACTGAGTGTCAACTATGTACCAGGCAATGGGGATACAGCAAACAACTTATTACACAATTCACTATTAATTACACATTTGCGGACTTCCCTGGCAGTCTGGTGGCTAAGACTCTGCGCTCCCAATGCAGGGGACCCTGGTTCAGTCCCTGGTCGGGGAACTAGATCCCACATGTCGCGATGAAGAGCAAAGATTCCATGAGCCGCAACTAAGACCCTGCATAGCCAAACAAATAATTACACATTTGCAAAACACCATAAGGAAGTATATATATACTGCTGTGAGTGTGTATTAGGAATTGATCTAGGTTGGAGAGAGGGGCTTTGGAAGCCTTGCATGAATGCTCAGTCACTTCAGTCATGTATGACTCTTTTCGATCCAGTGGACTGTATCCTGCCAGGCTCCTCTTCCATGGGTTTTGCCATGCAAGAATACTGGAAAGGGTTGCCATGCCCTCCTCCAAGGGATTTTCCCAACCTAAGGATCTTCCTGACCTAGGGAATTATGTTCCCTGCATTGGCCGGGGGGGGAGGGAATGTTCTTTACCACTAGTGCCACCTGGGAAGCCCTTGGATGACTTACTTGAGAATAAAATATTTAAAGTCTTGAAGGGTGAATGGAAATTCATTGGAAGAATAAGAGTAGGAGTACCTTGCAAAGAGAACAGAATACATGTAAAGGCTTGGAGATAACAAGGTGCATGTTAGACTCCTGTCATAGAGCTCAAAGAAGAGAGGGAACTTGTACAGGGTGAGGCTAGAGAAGGAGGCAGGGACGTAATGTCTCTTTGAAGTGAAGTGAAGTGAAAGTCTCTCAGTTGTGTCCAGTTCTTTGCAACCCCATGGACTATACAGTTCATGGAATTCTCCAGGCCAGAATACTGGAGTGGGTAAGTTGGTCACTCCTCCAGGGGATCTGCCCAACCCAGGGATCAAACTCAGGTCTCCCGCATTGCAGGCGAGTTCTTTATCAGCTGAGCCACATAGGAAGCCCAAGAATACTGGAGTGGGTAGCCTATCCNTGCTCATTTCACATGCCAGCAAGGTAATGCTCAAAATTCTTCAAGCCAGGCTTCAACATTATGTGAACTAAGAACTTTCAGATGTATAAGCTGGATTTAGAAAAGGCAGAGGAACCAGAGATCAAATTAACAACATCCCTTAGATCATAGAAAAAGCAAAGGAATTTAAGAAAAACATCTACTTCTGCTTCATTGACTACACTAAATCCTTTGACTGTGTGGATCACAAAAAAAAAACCTGTGGAAAATTCTTAAAGAGAGGGAATACCAGACCATCTGCCTCCTGAGAAACCTGTATTCAGGTCAAGAAACAACAGTTAGAACTGGACATGGAACAACAGACTGGTTCAAAATTGGGAAAGAAGTATGTCAAGGCTATATATTGTCTCCCTGCTTATTTAACTGATAAGCAGAGTATATCATGCAAAATGCCCGGCTGGATAAATCACAAACTGGAATCAAGACTGCCAGGAGAAATACCAACAACCTCAGACATGCAGATGATACCACTTTAATGGAAGAGTAACTAAAGAACCTCTTGATGAGGGTGAAAGAGGAGAGTGAAAAAGCTGGCTTAAAAGTCAACATTCAAAAAACGAAGATCATGGCATCTGGTTCCATCACTTCATGGCAAATTGATGGAGAAACAATGGAAACAATGGCAGATTTTATTTTCTTGGGCTCCAAAATCACTGCAGATGGTGACTGAAACCATGAAATTACAAGACGTTTGTTCCTTGGAAGAAAAGTTATGACAAACCTAGACAGTATATTAACAGGCAGAGACATTACTTCGCCTACAAAGGTCTGTATAATCAAAGCTATGATTTTCCCAGTAGTCATGTACCTATGTGAGAACTGGACAATAAACAAGGTTGAGCACTGAAGAACTGATGCTTTTGAACTATGGTGTTGGAGAAGACTCCTGAGAGTCCCTTGGACAAACAAGGAGCTCAAACCACTCAATCCTAAAGGGAATCAACCCTGAATATTCATTGGAAGGACTGGTGCTAAAGCTGAAGCTCCAATACTCTGGCCACCTGATGCTAGGAGCTGCCTCGCTGGAAAAGACCCTGATGCTGGGAAAGACTGAAGGCAGGAGGAGAAAGGGACGATAGAGGATGAAATGGCTGGATGACATCACCTACTCAATGGTCATGAGTTTGAGCAAACTTCCGGAGATAGTGAAGGACAGGGACGCCTGGAGTGCTGTAGTCCACGGGGTAGCAAAGAGTCAGACGCGACCGAACAACAACAAAGGAAAACGTTAAGTCCCTCTCGCCACCAATTCCATAATTTTACGAATGAAGTCCAGTACAAAGAGCACTTCTTAGGGAAGCCTTTTGGGCCTCTCCCATCGCCACGAATCCTCTCATTCGTCGCCCCCACTATGCCTTGCGTTCTGCACAGCACAGATCGTACACTCTTCATCTTCGTGTCCCCGGCGCCCAGCGCGTGCCCTTCAAACACTGCGCCCTCCACATTTACTAATTAGCCACTTTCCCCAGTGCTGAGGTACACTGCAGCGCCAGACAGGGACGCCTCTGCTAGTGAGCCAATTGCTCGCCGGAAGTGACGCGCTGCAGGGTCGACGTGCTTCCGGTCTCGGGTGTCGCCGCCGCCGCCGCAGGGGGACGGGTTTCTCTGGCCTGCTAACTCTGCTGCTCTGAGGGATCCTTGCGTGGCAAGAAGCTGCGCGTGAGAGAGTAAGGTGGTAGGATCTTCTCCTCGTTCCCTGGGGCCCGGCGGGAGGGCGCAGGAACTGGCGGCTAGGTCCCCGAGGGCCCCCAGAGCCAGGTGAGGCTGAAGCACCGCGCTTCGCGGCGGGATCTGTCTCAGCTGTAGGGCGCTAGCCGCTTGGGCCGGCGTGTCCAGCCTCACTGGGGCCGGTCGGGCGGAATGGACGCGACCGACTGGATACTCAGAACTCCTCCAGTTCCTTGTTCTCAGGAGAAGGATCATCCATCTCCCCTTGAACGGCCCCATTCCCCACTGTGACAGCCACAGGATCTGCATCGACGAGTGTGCTTGTGTGGTGTAAAGTGGCGTGCAGAGTTCCACGCCTGTTTATTGGCTCCTTCCCACAGCTTGTGTTGAAGGGATGTTGTGGCCGAAGCTGAGGTTTTAACACTGATTAGTGCAGAGGATGCTGCCCTAGAAGGGGGCGTGCTAATAGTCGGAAACGATGTGAAACAGCTGGGTTGGAAGTAGCTTATACTCTGATTACAGGAGACACAGATATAAAGAACAGACTTTTGGATACAGTAGGGGAAGAAGAAGGTGGGATGATTTGCGAGAATAGCATTTAAACATATACATTACCATATGTAAAATAAATAACCAGTGGACGCTTGCTGTGTGAAGCAGGGAACCCGAAGCGGTACTGTGTGACAATTTAGAGGGGAGGGAGGGGTTGGGAGGTGGGAAGGAAGTTCAGGAGGGAGGGGACATATGTATACCTGTGATCCATTTATTTTGATGTATGGCAAAAACCATCACAACATTGTAAAGTAATTATCCTCTAATTAGAAATAAAAAAACAAGAGGAAGACTCGGTATTATCATGTGACTGTAAACGAATATATTTTGCTTATCAATCTTCCGGAAGGAGTTGTAATGACAATTTCATGCTTAAGGACAGGATTTGTGTATACTTATTAGTTTACTGTACAAATGATTTGTGATGAAATGGCAGATTGTGCAAAAAGATTGGAAGAAAGTAGACCTGGGACTTGGAGATAGGCAAATAAACTAAGAAAACTGCAAAATTTGGGAGAAGTAACTTAATTTACTATTACCATGTGATTTCATTTTGGAAATAATTTGGTTTTTTGCTGAATTAAAAAGGAGTATTTAAATGAAGATGTGAATGGATTCATGGAATATTTAAGACAAAACTCACAGATGCTTCACAATGGTGAGGTGATAGCAACAGACAGTCAGAAAGTAAGGGAAGAAATTGAAGTTGCTTTAAAGAAAGATAGTCGCCGGGAAGGAAGACGATTAAAAAGACAAGCAGCAAAGAAAAATGCAATGGTAAGATTATCACTTCTATCACAATGTTACGTTGTATGGTTGGAAACTTATTCATATGCACACATACATATTTTAGCAAACTTATTCATATGCACACATATTTAGCCACAGAGATTGTGGCTGTGTGCTAGACTTAGATGGCATCTTTTTGAGGGCTAGTAGTAACTCTAGGATTTTTGTTTAGCACCTTGTATATGCTAGACACTTGATGTAGTGATCAATTATCACAACAAAACAAAGATGGTGGCATTATTTCCATATTTTAGGTAGAAAACACCAGTGTGCAAATAGGTTAATTATCTTGGTGAAAGCCTTTTAGCAACTAGCAGAGGAGAAATTCAAACCCAAGAAAAGGTGTTAATATCTGAGTACTTAGATTAGTGGCTAGCACACTATATGTGTTATTAAATAAATGTAAACCTAAATGAGCTGCTAACTCTATGCAGTCCAGCCAGAGGAAAAAAAAAAAGATACTTAAACCCAGTCTGACTTTAAGACCTATGTTCTTACCCCTTCCAGTAGCCCTTTTTCAAATGGCCATTTTTTGAAAAAAGATCAAAGTAAGTGAGAAAGTTAAGTACAACAGGTTAGATATGTGTGGTTCCTGTTAGTTGGAAGAGATGTCCTTTTATCTTTATCCATGAAAAACTGATGCACAGGAAGAAAATATAATGTGTTTCACTGGTTAGTAACAGAGTAACAGTTAGTAACAGAGCAGAGTAATAGAGCTAAAACTCCTTGAGACTCTCCCTGCTCATTGTGTCCCTCCTTCCCCCTGTTACACTGAGAAGAATGCTGAGACTGCATGTTTATTTCTGCATTCCCAAGACCTAGATTTTAAACTGTTTCAGACACAGGAAATGAAATACTGGTATAATTCTTTCCCTTCTCTAGCAAGGGATTCTTCTAGCAGGATAATGCATAAGAATCAAGATTTGTTGCTATTTTACAGTTTTATTTTTTAATAGACTTACTAAATGTAGAGCATTGTTTGTACCAATGTAGGCTTGAAATGTTGCAGCTTCCATAAATGTGGCTTCTATTTGCAGGGTTATTTTTATGCAGTGTCATATTTAAAGAGTCTTTTGTAAGATTCTTTTATAAGCTAATACTGATAAAATATTCCTTATGAATAAATTGGGATAGAAAAGACAATCATTTCTATTTGGATCAAGATAGTCTTGTTTAAATTATGCAGTTATTTTAAAGTATTTTAAAGTCAAGTTAATTTAACATGAAGATAATTTTAAGATAATTCTAGGACCTTCCTGGTGGTCCAGTGGTTAAGACTCCACGTATCAATGCAGGGGGCCCCAGGTTTGAGGTTTGATCCCTGATCAGGGAACTACATCCCACATGCCCAGCTAAAGATTCTGCAGGCTGCAAGGAAGATCAGAGATCTCGAGAGCTACAGTTAAGACCCAGCACAACCAAATACATAAATATTTTTTAAAAATTTAAAGATAATTTCTTTGACATAGTGTGATGAATTACATACATTTTGAAAAAGTTTAGTATTATGACTTTAAGAGAAAATTTATGTTTTTAATTAGGGGGAAAGACATTGTTTTTCAAAACAAAAAATGTTCTTTATAGTAAAGCATATGCTTTAATACTCTAAGGCTTGTTGAGACCCTTCAATTCATTTTCTTTTCTTAGTATCTCAGACTAAGCATCGGTTCTTAATTGTTAATTAAAAAATGATGAGCTATTTTATCCAAAAACTGGTTCCAGTTTAAATAAAATGTTTTAAATATCTACCATCTTTGATTATGACTGATACTCTTATTCATTGCAGCAAAAAAAATCCTCCAAATTGCTAGGTAGTATGTAAAGCAATGAAACTATTGTTCAGTGTTATGGTGGAGGCAAATAATTCACTGTAGAATTATACCTTTAAAATGTGCATATATTCTAAAATGAAGCCTTTGTTTATAAATATTAAGGAACATGTATAAAAGATATAAAAATTGTAAAGTATAATTTTTGGTATGAAATATATCTTATGACTTGAATCACAGCTTAAATGGAATCACTTGACTGAAATTCATTCTATTATGTGAACTTTAAAAAGTGACGGTATTAATTTTAAGTGCTAATTTTTATGGTCATTGCCTGTCTCCTCCAGAAAACTCAGTTTTTCCATTAATGAAGTGAAGTGTAATAAGTCCATATTTGCTTAATTCATTTAAGCAATTACCTTCTACAAAGATTTAAACTTTGTCTCCTAGACTGATAGATTTATGAATTCAGGGTTTTCAAAAGTACTGAAACCCTCTGATGAAAATGATGGTTTCTCGAGGTTTAGGAGAATGTGAAACACTTTTTGATACAGATGAAATACTGAGAGTTCAAAAAACAGAACTAGACAACTTTAAAATGGGATTGTTTTCTTGATGACTAGAATTAATAAAGCCAGTGTAGTGTTGCAGTGTGGAAACTCAGGTTTTGTTTTCTCAGGTATGTTTCCATTGTAGACAACCTGGCCATGGGATTGCAGATTGCCCTGCTGCCCTTGAGAATCAAGAAATGGGCACGGGAATTTGTTACAGGTGTGGATCCACAGAGCATGAAATAACCAAGTGCAAGGCTAAAGTAGACCCAGCTCTTGGTATGTTGTTGTTGTTGTTTTTCCTATCAAATTTTTTTATTTGGTTAATGAGCAAAGTGGCCAGTAAGTAACCAACTGGTTTTTTCATTGCTGACAGAGTTTGTTATGAATGTGTCACTTAATATTTTGAAATCAAATGTGATTGAACTTTAAATTAGGTAACAATAAATATGTTTTCTTCTCAGTGTTTTAAAATAATATGAATTACACTATATAGATAGATAGATATAGATAGATATCTGTGTCTATGTTGATATATATCTACACACACATCCATATGTATATATAACTAAACAGGAACTGTTGATCATTACAGGTGAATTTCCTTTTGCAAAATGTTTTGTTTGTGGGGAAATGGGGCATCTGTCCAGATCTTGTCCTGATAATCCCAAAGGACTCTATGCTGATGGTAAGTACCGTTACTCTTGTATGTTCAAAATGGTGGTGAGTCATCATGCAGTTGTGATTTAATTTACATTTAAACAGTTTTTAAATACATTCCTGAATAAGTGGCAAAATCTCTAGAATTTCATATTTTTATCAAGCATTATTCTGTGGTGACTTAGAGGTAAGGAATCCATCCGCCTGCAGTAAAGGAGACGTGGGAAATGGGGTTCGATCCTTGGTTGGGAAGATCCCCTGGAGAAGAAAATTGCAACCCGCTCCAGTATTCTTGCCCGGAGAATCTCCATGGACAGAGGAGCCTGGCAGGCTGCAGTCCATGGGCTCACAAAGAGTCGGACACTACTGAGCAACTGAGCACACATTCTGTGTACTAGACTTTGTGTAATTTAAGTTGATACATCAAATCAAACTGACCTCTATATTTCAAACTATTTGTATTTACTTCAGTATCAGTTGTGAGAATATGTTATAAATATGTACTTTTAAACCTAACAAGCAAAAAGATTATTTCTCAAACTAATATAAGATTTAAAAAATAGTGTGGTGAATTTAATCTCAGTGTAGCATAATATTTTGGGTAGAAGGGTTGGTACTCACTATTCTGGATTTTTGTTTTTCCTTAGTTTATTGTCTGGCATGGGCCATGTAACATTCTTACCTTTGGCACAGCTAATGTCTTAAGGTGCCCACAATAAAGTCTGTGATGTTTAAATCTTTAAGGAGGAGGTTGGCATCTGTTAATGTGAGTCATTTATTAATGTGATGCTGGTACCATTAGGTTCTAGACACTTCCTGTGTCATGTCCTGGGTTCCCTTGCAGAAGTCCAATGAAAAAGCATAGCTTTGGAGTTAACACTAGTTACAGACTCAGAACTACCACTCATTAACTGTGGGACTTTGGCCAAGTTATTTAACTTCTCTCATCTCAGTTTCCTCACCTGTGAAATGGAGATGAGAAAATTGTACTTCATTGATTCTAAGGTGCATTTTTTTTCACATTTTAATATATCTGAACTCAATGTATCTTAATATTGGTGGGTGTTACATAATAGGCATTTTTTTTTCCAGAAAGGAATGTAAAATAATGATATATCTTATAATCAGTGGTGTCTTAGATTTGATGAATTATGATATTTTACCATAAAGAGTTATGAGGATTAGAATAATTATTAAAGTGCCTCCTGTTTCACTATGGCATCTACAGCAGTAAAGAGTCTTGGACCTGAAAGATGCTCAGAAGTGTCTTTCAGTTTTGAACTTAATAAACAGGCCATATAATATGACTAGTGAGCAAAGAAGCCTTTATATGGTGAACCAAAATGACTAGATATAAAAAGTGTGGCAAGGGGAGTAAGTCACAGAAAAGGGTGAGTTCATCCAAGTTTATACCCTGTGAAGGTCATTTTTCTGAGTAAGTCATTTAATATTAACATGATCATGATAATGCTTGACCATTAAGCAATAGTGTTTGACTATTCAGTGAAAGATTCATTTTAGAAAAACTCATTTTAGGACTGTGTTGTAATTCACAGTCCTGGAATGTTGCTTAAAGTAGGCAAATAGGCATTTTTTCTAGAGTTTGGATGCCTGGCAGATAAAGGCATTGATATAAAAGTTAATTTCATTCCTTTTGTAACTACTCACCCCCATCTGACTTGTATAGCAGGGCAGTGGTTTGTATCCTTTTTTGGGGGAAGAGGGCATTGATCATTAAAGAATCTGATTAAAAACTGTGGACATTCTCCTCAAAAAATTCATCTGCATGCAAATTTTTCAGAGTTCACGAGCCCATGCCTTTCTAACTGTGGTTTAAGACCCTGGCTTCCAGGCAGTGGCTCCTGGACACTCCAGAGAACAAGTACCTTCCATCATATCTCACTTCTCTTTCCCACATCTCCCTTGAAGGTCAGGGGCAAGAAATGGTGGGTTGATAACAGTTTAGTGCTCTATGAGGTTAAGAGGAATGGAGAATATATTTATTAATAGGAATAAGTTGTTCCTGGCTTCAGCTACCTTTGCATCTAAAAAGGTTATGAGGACCAAATAAGATATGAAAGTGCTTTGAGACATTAAGTATCCTATGTAAGTATCAGAGGTTTTCAGTGACTCTGTTCTTTTTTTAGGTGGTGGCTGCAGACTTTGTGGCTCTGTGGAACATTTGAAGAAAGATTGTCCCAAAAGTCAGAACTCAGGTGAGATCTCTGGGCCTCCTTTAGAAGGGGTGAGATTGAATATTCCTCTGTGTTTTTGTTGAATTTTTGTTATTAACAACTCCCTGAGGTACAACTGGTTTTAAGGCTGTCTGGTTTCATGTTACAGTGATGACTTCATCATTTCTTTTTCAGCAGTACTAAGTGAGCATTAGCTGCTGTTCTCGGGTGGGAAAAAAAATGATCAGTAAGCCCCAGAGGACCCTGATTTTATAAAGCATCTTATTCATAAATATTTACATTTGCTAACTTATGTGTTTAATAATACAGTCAATTATGTTACTTAAAAATATTAATTTGCTAAGAAAATAAGAAATATGAGAATAAGTTGCAGTATTGTTATGATTGAGAATCCTCATGTAGGTTCTGAAGTCAGAAGGATTCCAAGTTGGTTGCAAAAACTTCCAGAAATATTTAAATTGTGTAATCCACATAGTATCTGGCCAGTTTATATTTTCTTCCTAACAAATACTCCCCTTGGTCATCTAAAACTTCATAAATGTTTAACAAACCTAAAACAGATATTGGGGGATGTGGAGACCATTGTTACATTAGTTTGCCTAGATTAGAATGGTGATAATCTGTATGAAAGGAGGTAAGACAGTAGGATAGCCCAGAAGTGCTTCTTGGAGAAAAAGCACATTTCTTTCTATACCAAATGGTCATAGTACTATTCAAATAAGTCTGCCCATTCTTACTTCCTACCCCTAGCATTTGAATTTGAAAACCAAGAGTTCTTGTTTAGAGTCTTGTCTAGAGTGTTGTCTAGAAGAAGATAGTCTTTACTACATTGTAGGCAGTGAGATTGAAATGAGAAGTGAAATTTGAATTCTCCCTCCTGGGAGGATTGCCACTTCCCAAATGACAAGACTGACAAGCAGATGTTGTATAATTTCACAGGTGGAATCTTGTGCATTTAAAACTGATGCTTCATAAGTCTTGCTGTTTACAGTCTCTTGGAATTCATTGACTCTATAATGATGAACTCTGGGAAAGAATGAAAGAGCTTTCTCATCAACTTGTGCATTGCAAAGCAGTTGCTGCATTTCCCTAATTGGGATGACAAATTGCCCATGTACTCTGAAATCAAGAGTTATAATCAATTACGGAATTGCTCACTTTGCTTTAGTGATGGACTCTTCTGTCTTTGTGATTATGCATGTCAAAACTAGTTCCTTTGGTAAACCAGTACCAATCAGTCTAGGTGGGTGTATTTGATCACTGTCTTTCTTACATTTTGAGTTTTCTGTGTCTTTACAGATCGAATGGTCACAGTTGGTCGCTGGGCAAAGGGAATGAGTGCAGACTATGAAGAAATTTTGGATGTGCCTAAACCACAGAAACCCAAAACAAAAATACCTAAAGTTGTTAATTTTTGATGATTAGTACTGTTGTTTGTTCAACATTCTGAACTGGGCCTGCTTCACAAGTTGGAGCTGGACTGTCCCTTGGAGGCCTGTATTATAGATATCAGTATAATTTAGGTGTGGTCAAACCAGTTCCTGAGTTCTGTCCATCAAGGGGCACTTCTCACATTGCTTATAGCAGATCACCGAAAAAAAGTATAAGATGTTTAAAATGGATTTTCTAAAAGAATATATTTTTGACCGATAGAACTTAGGTGTAACTAAGTGATTATATACCTGATTGTAACAATCATTTTTTTCTTCAAAACAAAATTATGCATTAATATGAACTATCCCTAAACATAGGGTAACTGCTTTGCATTTGGAAATGAATTTGTGGCCCTGTTGTTGGTTCAAAGTATCAATTTATCATTATGTTAGAAATTTTTTTATAATTGCCACAAAATGTATTTTTAAAATATTAAATAAAAATTGATTTGCTATTTACCTAGTTTTCTGAATACCTAATTTTGGATTAAATGAGCCTTGGTAATGTCCATGTAACAATGTCTTTGAAAACATGATCTTTTATGAATCCTAGATGAGATTAATTTTGATTAATGTTTGTTTTAGTTTTGGCATAAAGATTTACAAACTATTGAGGTTAAAATAGAAGAGTACCTCAGCTTAATAGCAGCTCGCTCTTTGCCCCTGATTTTCAAGAGAGAGATTCCAGCCAAAATTCAGTTTGGGATATTTAACCAGAATGGTGATGGCGTGTAACAGACTGTCTATCAAACTTAATAGCATTTTGTTCACATGTTTTAGATGAGTCAGGGTGAGATTCAGGCATCATCATAATAGAGTTAGAACACTAATCAGAGACCCATTAGCTTCTTTGTTTGATTTGATGAATACATGCATACTTAATACATGTATTTCACAAGGCTTAAGGCTCCCATTGTACTGTATAATGGAATGAATTCATTGGATTGTGTGTTTCATTTGGAATTTTACCTGATTGGATGCATTTGTAACAAAAGGAAACAGCTGTGATTAGTTACTGATGTTTTCAAAAGCAAAATATTTACCAAATAAGAAAAGGAACACTTTTCTGTTTTAATGTCTGTACATCTCAACATTTCTAATCTTAATAAGAGCTGTTCTTCTTTTTTTTTCAGCGACAGAGGAAAACATAACACAATTTGACTCAGCATACCAGAGCTTAAGGAAATGAGTATCATTTCAAAGGAATAGCACAAGCCATGCAGCTGGAAAAGGATAGCAGTGCTGTCCTAGTCCTTCAGCCTGAACACACCCAGATTTATCCCACCTATCCTATCTGGAGCAAAAGGCTCTGGAAAGTCAAAAACCCGTCAGCTGCAAGCTAAGTCTGATGTTTTTTATATAGACATTAATGCAGGGATGTCCGTTTTGTCTTCCTTGCAGTTCCTGTGTTTCCATTTTAAGGATCTATCTACAGTGAAATTAGAAATACATTTCAGGTGCCCAATATAATGTTGGGAAAGTATGTGGACACTTTTTTAAAGGAACTCACCAGAGATGGAAATTCTGATGTCCTAAGAGATTGCAGGTTGCTTACTGTTGGTTATTTTCTTAACAATGAATGCTGAACGAGGAAGGCACACATTTACTTTTTCATTATAGATTTCCTAAGGACAGGGACCTACTACATTCTTGGTACTCTTTCAGGCACATGAGATTGTGGCAGTGAATAAGACAGATAAGGCCACATGCATTCTGCTGAGGCTGAAGAAGGCAGATTTAGGCACAAAAAATGCATATCGGAACTATCAGTAAAAATAATATCAGAATGTCAATATTTATAACATTTTATAAATATTTTGTTGAATTCCCTAAGACTTAGTTGTTAGCACTCTTCTTCCTTCTAGTCCTTTGGAAATGTCATCTCTTTTTACAAGCTCATCTTTCACTTCTCAGGGGCTGACTCCTGAATCTACGTCTAGCCCTAAGATCTTTGGTTTTAGTTCTGTGTGCTCACCAGCCTGCTGGACATCCTTAATTGGATGTTGCACTGACACCCCAAACTCATAGTAGCTTTAAATCGGATCACTTCCGCTAAGGGGAAAATGAACAAATTTCCTTTCTTGTCTCCATTTTATTTAGTACAGTTATATTCCAAGCCTACAGGCTTGAATCTCAAGTTATTCTTTTCTTGACATTCCCTCACCACACCCCAGATTCAACCCGCTCTGACTTTCTTCAGACCTCTACTTGGCAGTCTGCATAGTAAAGAGTCTGATGACTAGTCTTATAGGAAATAGACTTTTCCTCATCCCAATAACTTTTCATTCTCTTACTCTAAATTTTCTCCATAATTTAAGTCCCTGCCTAACATTATTTGTCCCCTCTCCACTGGATTATAGGTTACATGAGGGCAGGAATTTTGAGTCTTACTCATTATACTCAGAAGTGCTTGGTGCATACAAAGCATTTACGCTTGTTGAATGAACGAATGAATTAAATGAATATGTGACAGAATTAGACCTAACAGAGAGATGACACATGTAGCTGGATAGCCACTTTAGATTGGGAAATCAAGGGAAGGGCTCTGAGGGGAAGACTTGTAAGCTGAAATCTGGATGACAAGAGGAAATCTGTTATGAAGATAAGGAAAAAGAGTATTTAGGGACAGAAAATAGTCAAAGCCGTGAGCTTGCCATATTTGAGGGTCAGAAAGAAGATGTGATCTTTTTGACTGACTTCCTTCACTTAGTATAATGTTTTCAAGGTTCATCTGTAATATTCCATTGGTATGTAGGTATACAGGGAAGTATTAGAAGCCTTGGATATCTTGATGTGAGATATTAAGTAAGGGCGATGATACTGAGGAAGGAGGCTGCTTGGTGTAGTTGAAAAATAGCAGAGGCCAGTGTGGTTGGAAAAGAGTTGGGGATAAGGTAGTGACAATCAGATAGTTAACAGGGGTCACATCTTATAGACTACCAGTTTCTGTCACATAACCACCACAAACTCAAAAGCATATGGTAACTGTTTATTTAGCTCATGCCTGTGAGTCAGATCTAGGCTGGGCTTATCTAGACAGCTCTACTAATCTCAGTGGGGCTTGCTTACATCCATATAAGTCTGGTTTGGGGTCAGCTGATCTAAACTAGGCTTAGATGAAGCAGCTCTATTGCTTGTATCTCTCTTCCTTTTCCTGGGACCAGCAGACTAGTCCTAACTGTTTTTCTCATGACAGAGATGTAAGAGAGCAGGTCCACTTGCAAAAACATCTTCAAGCCTTTGATTGATTGCATCATGTCTGTTGATGTCACATGATTAAGCTCAGAGACAGAGGTAGAATAGTGCTCTCCATTGGGAGAGGTGGAGATGGTGGCAAGGGAGTGAATATTTTTGAAAAATAATTGAATGTACCACATTATACCCCAGACTGTTACAAAGCTTTGGCTTTTATTCTGTGATAGGCAAAATTATTTACAGGTTTGAGAAGAAATGTGACACGATCTGACTGCGGAGTTGAGAGTGAAGGGAGGAGTAGGAATAGAAACAGGTTATATTTCAGATGATAGAAGATGATGTTTTGAATTAGGGCTATAGAGTTGATTAGAAGGAATCAGGTTCTGATTATATTTTTCACACAGAGCTGATAAGCTTTCCTGAAGGAAGGATTTATGAAGGGAAAGGTGGCAGAATGAAGGGATCTGTTTTGAAAGAACCACAAAAGGAGGCTTTAAAGTGTGACTGGTGATATAGGAGGAAATCCGAATGACATCATGGAAACCAAGTGGAGAAGATACAAAAAGAAGGAACTAGTTAGTTTTGTTGATGCCATTAGTTGTGGCAATGAGAGGTCTGTGGAGTAGTGGAGGGAGAAGTATTATTCATTGAATGAAATAAGGGTGTGAAGGTTACATTTATAGATAATTGGAGTAGAGATGGGTAGCCTTTAGGAAATAGGATCAGATGAAGTATTGTTTTGCTTTATTTTATTTTAAGATAAGAGATGATAATTGTTATAATAATAATCCAGGAAAGACTTCTGAAATAGAGAAAAAAAAGAAGGAGTGACGCCTTGGAGAAGGTTAGAGAAATAGTTCTTTGCTAGGGGTTGTTGTTGTTTAGTTGCCAAGTCATGTCTGGCTCTTTGTAACCCCATGGGCTGCAGCATGCCAGGCTTCCCTGTCCTTCATCATCTCCCACAGTTTGTTCAAACTAATGTCCACTGAGTTGGTGATGCCATCCAACCATCTCATTCTCTGTCATCCCCTTCTCCTCCTGCCTTCAATCTTGCCCAGCATCAGAGTCTTCCAATGAATCAGGTGGCCATCTGGTGGCTAAAATATTGGAGCTTCAGCATCAGTCCATCCAGTGAATATTCAGGGTTGATTTCCTTTAGGATTGACTGGGGGTAGAGATGTTTTTTTATTATGATAGGAGGCATGGCAAAGAATGGAAGGTGCCTAGAGGGGGAAACGAGATGGCTTCTGGCTAAGAGTTTGTATTTTACTCAAGTGAAGTATTTTCTAAAATTTATTAACTGAGGAAGAGTAAGGCACATGAAAAACTTGAAGGCAGTGTGAAATAGCAAGCATATAGGAGATGTAGTAGGGTTATCAGAGCCCTTTTGAAATTTGTGGTCATAAATCTCAAGTGAGACCCGTCCACGATTTTCAGGTGCTCAGTGCAAGGTTGAGGTTTTACAAATACTTTAATTCAACCACAGTTTTGAATTTGCCAGACAAGTCAAATGAGGAAAAGGGACAGGGAGTGACATTAATGATAACCATTGGACCCTAAGCCAGATAAGAAAAGAAGGGAGGACATGGAGAGGGATAATGAGCTGTGGGAATGATAGAAATATTAATTTTGAACCTGTTGTCAAATGTCCCTAAAAATGTCACAAAAGGAGGAAGGAAAAGATAGTATCAGAGGTGGAATTTTTATATGGTACTTTATATACTTGCAAGTGTACAATGAGAGGCATTTTATAATATTTCTCTGACTTTTGGGCTTCCCTTGTAGCTCAGCTGGTAAAGAATCCGCTTGCAATGCGGGAGACCCAGGTTCTGTCCCTGGGTTGGGAATATCCCCTGGAGAAGGGGAAGGCAACCCACTCCAGTATTCTGGCCTGGAGAATTGCATGGACTGTATAGTCCATGGGGTGGCAAAAAGCCAGACACAACTGAGCAACTTTCACTTTTTCTTTTCTGACTTTTGGAGGTGGGTTACTATCAAGAATTATGAAGGGTCTGAGATTATTGATCTAGTCTGTTACAGTTTCATGGATGTCAATAGAAAGCATGAGAATCCTGGTTCAGAGACAAAGGACATTATTACTCATGACACAGCAAACAGCATATCATGAGTATCAACTTATTTGTGTTGCTTCCATTTCCCCTTAGTCCCCAGCGTGATATGATGGGCCACAGCTGGATGCTGTGGGCATGATGGGTTTGTGTCACAGCTGATGAACACAGGGCCAGCACTCTGAGCAAGTGACAAAAACTGTAGCACACAGCACACAAGCCAGTCTTCCTGTGCCCTGAAAGGGAGCCGTTACACTGAAGTCAGGCTGTGGTCACCATGACCTACTGAGTTGCTTGTGGGACTAGCATATTGCCAATAGATAAGTCTTGCAGTTTGGCACACCAAGTGAGAATATGCAGGACCCCTCTGGGCCCATGGTGAATTGCCTGATCCAGTAGTTACACTACTTTCAAATGGGTAAAATGAATCATGAGCGAATTTCATGGTTTACATTTTAATACTTTATTCCAAACCATTAAAATTATTCCTTAACATATACATTTTCAACACATATTTTCAAAACTGCTCCTACAAATAGACCAATAAAAATTTCCAAGGTTTGAAATGTGCAATAAAAAAATATGAATAAAACCACATGGTGTGTATATATAAGAATACACTGTATTTCTTTTGATTTTTATTAAAATTATTCATTATTTCCTAGTGGTATTTGCATATAAGGGTAGATATATTCTAAAGTATACAGATCACCAGTTTTCACATTTTTTTCCTCTAGAATCTTCTTTAAAAATATGGTAGAAAAACTGAATATAGATCAGAAACTCCGTAGCATTAAAACCAGGAAGAATTAATAGGGAAGAGTTTCCTTTCTTAATCAAAAAGCTTTCAGTCCTGTTAGAAGCACTTGAAAACTCTTAGCATCAAGAAGGGCATGAAATCTCAAGTGTTCTTGGAGGATATTTTAGCACTCCAAAGGAGAAAGTGAGCCTGACTACATTTTTATGTTCCTTCTGTCCTTTGTCTCCAGGGGCTTGAGGATGGCTGCTGATGAACCAGCTTCACTGCTTACCCTTGGATCAATCATGTTTGCTTAAAGCCAGGGCACCAAAGAAAGCCGAGGAAGACTGTACTCAAGTCATCTGTTTTTAATTACCTTTCATTCTATTCCAGCCTCTCCAGCATCTGCTTTCCCTGGAATGTGCCAAGAAACATTCCCATCTCAAAGCCTTTGCATGGACCAGGCATTCTACAAGAAACATGCTCCAGCCAGAAATCCTCAGCGTTCAGTCCCTCTCTGCCTCCAGGTCTTCACTCTAATGTCCTGCAGTAGAGCCTACTCTGACCACCCTATTTTTTTTTTCTTAACGTTTTCTTTATTATTCCTAAACAATCTATCATGCCATCAATATTCAGAGCCCAAATCCTGGATGTATATATTTCTGTATTCATTATATAGAATATTTACTATCTTTCAATGTGAAACACCCACCCCATACATACCTCCTTGTTGTTTAAAAGTCATGTCTCATGGCCAGAAAAATATTATTAAATTTTACATCCTTAACTTGCAGTGGCCCTATGGAGTAGATGGGAAGCTTCGGACCTCTGACCCCCTAGTCCACATTCCTGCATTCCCAGGTATGAGAGCAGCTCCTGGAACCCCCCACCAGGCCCCTCCAGCCCTGGCCCAGCTGGAGTGGGGGTGGCAGAGGTAAGGAGGGTGGGGAAGGCTCTGCAGCCCCACTTGCCAAGGACACACTCAGTGGGGCTGGGGGACCCCTGCCTCTGCACTGAGCCACAAGCGCTGGCCTCTCAGCCCCAGGGAAGGGAGGCCAGCAGCTGTAGAAGCATTTTCCTACTGCTGCTGGCAAGTGACCACCCTGTTTAAAATATGAACAGCCATCTCCAACACCTCCCCACATGCACATCGTTTAATTTACCCTGCTTTATTTTTCCATTTAACAGTTATCTCCTGAAAAGTAAAGTGAAAGTGTTAGTTGCTCAGTCGTGTCTGACTCTTTGTGACCCCATGGACCACCAGGCTCCTTTGACCATGGAATTCTCCAGGCAAGGATACTGGAGTGGGTTGCCATTTCCTTCTCCAGGGCTTCTTCACAACCTAGGGATCAAACCCAGGTTTCCTGCATTACAGGAAGATTCTTTACCATCTGAGCCACCAAATATCCTATATTATTTATTTACTTTATTGTAATGTGGTCAATACTCTTCTGTTTCTTGGTGAACCCACAGTGCCTAAAAGTGTCTCATACAGAGTTAGGTTCTTAATATTTATTGAATGAGTGAAAGAGCGAGAAAACAAATTTCCATTAAAAAAGGAAATATAAACCTGTTGTTGAAATTTACAATAGGAATGCCTTAGTCAGTTGTGTCATGGTTTCAGGCAATAGATTTTAAACTTTTTGAGATCCCCTAGGTAGAACCTGAATGCATTACTGTCTTTTCCAGTGTCATTTCCTTTTAAAGAATCTTTAGTCCAGTAGTCTGAAAGTGAGCAGTTCAGATTAGGCCATGATGACCTGATAATGTCATGTGACTAATAATATTAAAATGAGGCTAGTGTAGCTGATGTTTAAATTTTATTTTAAAATTTAATTAAATGGTCTCATGTGGTTAGTGGCTACCATATTGGACAGCGCTGGTATGGACTATGCCTGTGTTATAAGTTTAGAGTGGGCAACATCTTTGTGTCTAAAAATCCAGCCACAGTTACTCTATTCTTTCATTCAGAAAAAAGTTTCAAAAAAAAAATACAAATTCAGAGATGTACGAAAGACAAAAGTTAAAAGCATTTCAGTTGTAGAAGAGGGCTGAAATTTTAGCATACAAAACTTTAGTGTACTGTAACTGTCTTTACTTCTCATTTTTTAACCTTTTTTAAAATCTAAAAATATTCTTAAAAATCTGCTTTTGGAATGTAATGTATAAGCATTTAAATCTGCCTGTCCATTCTTCTTATTGTATTTAAATGTTAATTCATAAGATTGGGACATAGTCCAAAATTCATAAAAATGATAACCTGTTGGCACAGATTAATAAAAATAATCACAACCAGGTCTGGACAGAGGTAAAGATTTGACAAACTAAAGCAAGATGTATCTAATCTCTTAAGTGCTCTAAACTCTAATGGAGAAGTCCTTCAAATTTTAGAAGTTGTCCCGTAGAGGATGTTAACTTGATGTATGCTGGTTTGTCTTATGAGTCAAGACAAATCACAGAGTAAAATAATAAATGTAAAGTCTGGGGAATAAAGTTCTAATGTAGTGATTATGAAAGAAGACCTCAGTTCATTCTTTCTCTACAATATCACATTTTGCAGGTACTTTGTGAGTGTATATAGCAATAGATACTAAATGGGTCAGCTACCTTGATATATGTTAAATGACACCAGGAAAGTAGTTCCTATTACTAAAATTGATTGGATTCCATTATGTTTTAATGTCTTCCTAATTTAAAGCTCTAAAACATGTAATACATCTTGTCAGGTGCTCCTGTCAACACTGATACCTGCTATCCATGGAACAACCCCATACTATTAATCACCTAGCCAACGTATTATTTCTGATTTTATAAAATTTTATAAAATTTCAAACAGAATATGTTTCACTTCTCTTGCCTAAAAATGTTTTGATTATTTTAACCAAACTTTCACCATTTTATAGAACACACAATATTGATTATGAGAAATTTTCCACTGCCTGTGCCCCTGGAAGGTAGCAGAGCCACAGATGATCTAAAACAGAGTCTTAAAGCTCTTTTAATGTTAACCCAAATCACTGATATTTGACTTAGGATGCCTTTTGTTTTTTAACCTCTTCGCAACTGCATTTTTCTTAGACTGATACGAAATTATTTGTGACTGAGAAGCTTGTCTAGTGTCAGGACTAAGGGAGTTTGGAATTGCAAGTGGGAAATAAAATGACAGATAATTTAAAGTATGCTTATCAACCCATCATCATTAGCGCTCTCTATGAACTGTATACAGGAGGCTGCTGTCTCTTCAATGGATTTTGACCAGCCACCAAGGTTTCCAGCAAAGTAAGGAAGGATGCTAGCAGAAATCTGGTTAAAGTAAGATACCTGTTTCAAGAAAACAAAGTGAAACAAAACAGTATTTTAATTTCTTATTCATTGGTGCTTTTTCAAGCAAGGATCTCAATATTGTTGGTGTAGGAGAGGCTATGACCCCAACCCCTTGGAAATGGATCTGAATGGATGACCTGAAGATTCCCTGGTGGGTGCGGGTGGACACACATTACAGAATTACAGTTAATTTAGTAAATCCAGGTAAATGGTTTCCCTGTATCTGTAGGAGAAAATTAATGTGCATGTTTCATCGAACTTACCGTACATGAACTGCTATCAGAAGCATGGATGAGAAATCCGGCACATGTGATTTCACTTCTGACATACTGTGGAGAAGGTGGGAGTGACGGCAGAATAACCGACCTCACTGCCACCACGTAAGTGTGACTGAAAGATAAAAGGACACTTTCTAAGTTCTTGAGAGAAATGAACAGTGAATGAAATAGTAAATGGTGAAGAAAAGTAAATTCCTACAGTTAATGCAACTCGTTTATATAGTAGAAGTAAAACTATGAAGACCCAGACATTTTACATGAGTGATATGCATAAAAAACATTCTCTATGGCTACATTCAAGTATAGGAAATAGTAATAAGGGCCATAGATATTTTCTGCCTAAAACTTATGTATGCTTTGCATAACTGCAGAGCTGTAGTCAGACTCCAAACTTGTGTGTGTGTATGCTCTAATGGGTTGTTATTTCCATCTCTTCCACTTTTTTAATGGAAAAAATAATACCATTGTATTAAAGAACCTTCAAACAATAGGAACCCTGTACATTAGAAAACAGAAGTCATCCTTCAGTCTACCGTAACCACAGTACATTCCTATCCTAGAGATGACCACCAATAAAATTAACATTTTATTGTGACCCTCCAGATCTTTTTATAAATAACATTTATGTAAGCAAATGGACATATTCAGATTTTTACATAAATATAACCATTTTACAAGTATTGGTCTATAATTTGATTTTTCATGTAGTGATAAATCTTTAGAGGTGTTTCCTGTATCAATACCTCTATAACTACTTCATCCTTTTTAATGCTGGTATAGTATTCTGGTATAGTATGGTTCTACTATAATTTATAAGATAGAGCTTCAGTTTATTTCTAATATTTTTTGCCATAGTAGGTGATAATACACTGAACATCTGTGTGCATTAATCTCATCTGGGAGGGATTTTTCTATAGGCCAGTTTTGACATCAGAAATATTGCTGACCAGTTCCAGAGGTAGACCATAACCACCCTGGCAGCTTCCATTTCTTATCCCTCTAAACACTTACTCTTGGAACCCTTCCCTTTAGAACCTTTTCTCTGAGAAGTCCAGTGCCCACGGAGAAGCCTTGAACAGACACACCGGCTGAAAGCTAGCCATTTTGGGTGCATGCCACAGTAGAGCCTTTGTAAATTCTGAACCAAAACCAGCTTCTAGTGTTTTATTTGGCTCTCATGGCATTTTTACCAGTAATAGAATGCTTCAAAGATTGGCTATGCACAGTTTTACATGTGCATAGAATAAAAGGAAAGTGAACTGCTTTAGGAGTCTTGCATGATGCTTTGCACATGGCTGGCATGTAATAGTTTTTTTTTTAATGATAAGTAAAGCCTCATCTAGAAAAAAATAATAGGAACATCATTCAAGACCAGAAATGCTTACTCCATTGACTTTCTTATTTTCATATCAACTTTTTCTTTCTACTTTATACTATAAGACCTTGCTATAACACTTGAGTTACACATACTCACCCATCTTCGAGTGGCCTTCTTCGTGAAACAAGTACTACCAAGTCTTTGGGTTTGTCATTATTCACCACAGAACAAGTGATATAATATATCTGATCATCTTCACTTACACAGTCTATGACTTCACAGGACCTATGTAAACAGAACAGTGACAGAAAGTCTGCACTTTTTTACCTGGTAGAATAAGGCATGCCTTTCTTTTTGTTTGTTTGCGTAACTTCATTATTGGTGTCCATATGCACCCTTTTGTTCACATAACCAACTCCCCAAAGCCAGCATCATTTCTTAAAGCCTATCTTTAGAGTTGTTTGGCCAGGAGGAATAATTCTGCCTGTGATGAAGAGAACACTGGCCATCTAAGGTCGCTGCCTTCAACGTTGTAGAGAAAGGTACTTTTCTTTTTTCCACAAAACTATTTTTCTCTAGAATCAAGTAATATTTTAAAGACTAGCAAACTTTATGGACAATCCTTTGTGGACTCTGAGGTAAAGGAATATGGTATATTGGGAAAGAGCACTAAGCTTGGAGCCAAACACCTTGCCTTTGAGTCCCAGAGTAGCTATGTTTTATTAGGCAAGTCACTTTTTTTTATCCATAAAATGTAGATTATAATTACCTATGGTATATTATATAGGTAATATGTAGGTAATAATACCTCAGGGCTTAGGATCAAATGAAAATACCTGGCATAGTACCTGAATCAGATAGATGTAGAAAAAAAGTTAATGGAATTAGAATTCATTCATTCATTCCTCTATTCACTCACCTGGAATGTCAGGTGATGTAGAAAATAGTGGAGAGAAACATTTGAAAACAGCAGCAAAGGTTAGGCATTATTCTTGCTAAAAGCTTTGTACTTATATCTGCAAATACTGATGCAAGAAAATTGTGAAGTGTTTCCTCTTCTCATGAAGTGTTTACTAATGATAACATTAACCAAGATGCATCTTTCTGGCATCTATGTAAATATAACACATAAGCCTAGAGTTGTTTCACTTTAGTGGTATTAAATTGTCTATTATGGGCTGTTAATCATAGTGAGGTTTGGACATTTAAGAGATGAAATTCTACCTCATCCAAATTAGGAAGTAAATGGCATTAATGATGCTGAATATAATAGGAAGCCCATCTTACCAGTTGTTTCCTTAAAGCAAGGTGTCCCTGAGGCCTGAGCCCTGCAATCCAGGAGCTGGAACTCCTTGGAGAAGGGAGTGTCACCCTGACAGTACCGTCGAACAGGTGCACAGACGTGCATTCCAGGAAAGGAGGGGGAGTGAAGAAGGGTGGACTAGGGATGTGGGAGACAGGAAGTAACAGAAGCGATGTAGGCTGACAGACAGGGAGGGCAGGAAGCAGGCTGCTCACAGCTGCTTCTCCCAGCTTCTCACCAGGGAGTGCTGTTTCACAGAAGAAGAAGGGCTACCAAGTAAAGCTCAAGAGTGCGAAGTACAATTTGATAATCACTTCCTCAGGAGTAATGAGACTATGTCTTAAAGTCAGAGCCTGACGGATCTGGGTTCCAAATGAGGTCCCATTGCTTTACTGCCTGTGTAGTCTTGGTGAGTCTTGGGACATCTCTCTTGTTAAATGGAAATAATATCAACCTTGAAGAGTTACTGGTAGTATTACAATAGATGTGGGTAAAGCATGTCGAGTCAACATAGATGAAAACTAGATGATTGGAATAGTTTTTGTGCCTCTCCAGCTCCTGATACTGTGCTGTAGCAAATGCTCTTCAGCTACAACAATGGGTCATACATTGGGCCGTGGAGATAGACTGCAGTCTAGAGGTCATTTTTTACATTATGTCAAGGTTGAATAAGAGTGTTTTAAATTTATTCTTACGTGCAGTGGGGGTCCCACAAAGGTCGCTTGGTAAAGTTGGACAAGAGATGATAAGCCAAGTGTGCCGGTCTTTTCACATGCTTTTCAACCCAAACAGATAAAATATCATGTTCTTCCAGAGTATATATTTTTATCTAAAATAAAATAACCCAAAAAAATAAATTACAAAAGAAAAATTGATGTTTTTACATTAAGACCACAGCAGGATTGCATAAGATAAGGCATCTTGACACCTGGATAATTATGAAGCCAATAATGGTAACTTCACTTTCAATATTTGGATGTCTCGAACTCAGACCAGGATGCTATACTTCTGTGTCATCTAAACATTATGCTACTTGAGGGTAGGTTATTTAATTATTATGCAGTAGTTTTTCTCATGAAAAATAAAGAGCTTTATCTCTTTCCCTCTTTATCTCTTTGTGATATTTCCTTGCCTCTATTCAGGAACAACAAAAAATATCACCAGACTGCTAGGCCAGTCAACACTTGCTTTTCCCATAAGACCTTGGAGCCACGGCGGCAGCCTAACATCCCCAGGATGTCAGGAGTGCCTTCATTTGGGCTGAGGGGATCCAGGAAGTAAGCCAACACCTCTAGATCCAACTCAACCTCTCAACAGGACTGCTGAACTATATTGTTCCTTCAGCACAAAGCACTTTTTTTTTTAGTCAATCACAAGGGTCACAAGGTTCGTGAGTATCTAGTGCTTACTAAGACTTAGAGAAGAGAAAGCTTGTCTTGGGGATCCATTAGACTTACACTTAAATATTAATGTACCCCTTGTTACTCTGAACTTTGCTTCTACTGTGTTTTCATCAATAATCAGAGATATATGTTCAGCTAAGAGCACATTTCTATCATGCCCATTTACTCCATCTCTTTCAGGGTGCTTTGAAGATAGTGTTGGAATTTGCCATCTTATAATCATTCCCATGGCAATGAGCAATGAGAAGACAGACAAACATAGGGTTAAGACTTCACTGCAGGCATCAAGCAGATGGAAAAATCAGGCTGTGAGGGAGAAAACCTTTACTTAAACATAAATATCTTTAAGTAGAGAATGAAGAAATGAGAAACTGACTAAAAGCAGCTTAGAAAGGTAGGAAGTAGCTTTTTGCTTATGCCATTTTACCTCACCAGTTGACCTCTGCACCAAGCCTGTCTTTAAAATTGAGCCTGCAAAGGAAGGCATGATGTAAGCTGTAGGCACTTATCAAACAGAAAGAAAACATGAATGTAGCTCTAAGTCAAAGGCTGAGACCCAGCCCAGCGTAGACCTACCTACTTTTGCCCCCTGTATTGCAGAAGTAGCAGGTGGTTCATTGATCCTGGTGTCCCTGTGGCTCTTAGCCAGCGTGTTGGGGCCCTGCAGTCTCAGAGGAGTAAGAGCAAGTGGCCAGAGTGAATTCCACCACCTCAGTCAGATTCTGGCCTTGGGGCAAGCATGGTCAACCTTGGTGAAACCAGGGTTGGGTGGGATGTAACAGCGGGCTGAGTACTTTTTAAGGGTTCAGTTGTGCCCCACCCCCCATTCATATGTTAAAGTCTTAACCCCCAGTAGCCCAGAATGTGACCTTATTTGGAAATAGGGTCATTGCAGGTATAATAAGTTAAATGAGGTTCTACTGCAGTAGTATGGGCCCTGAGTCCAATATGACTGGTACCCTTATATAAAGGGGCAGTATGGGCACATATATGTACACACACACTGGGAGAATCCCATATGAAGATGAAGGCAGAGGTCAAGTGATGCATCGACTATCCAAGGAATGCTTAAGATTGCAGCAGAGCGCTGGAAGCTAGGGGAGAGAACTGCAGTAGATCTCGCTCACTCCCCACAGAAGGAACCAGCATGACCAACTCCTTGATCGCAGACTTCTAGCTCCCATAACCATGAGATGCCCATTCTGGTACTGTTTTGGCAGCCTGAAGAAACTATCACAGCACTTCTCCAGGAAGCTGCTCCCCAGGTTGCAGACACATGCTGCTGCTTCCTGTCCTGGAGACATAACAAACTTGACACTAAGTAGCCATCATTAAATTCTGCCCTTACAGAGCTCACTAGACTTAGCCAGTGTCAACTACAGTATTGGATGAATGGATGGCATTTTGATCCTTTCCCCAAAGGTAAAAAGTAGCAGAAAGTCCTTAACATTCTGCTGTCAGAGACGATGACATTGATGCAGACAAGGAAAGGCAGCGGTTGGTGTTGGTTCTCTTTAAACTCTACTATTTTAGGAAAGCCAACTTTTGCTTAGTGAAAAAATTCTCCAAGACCAACTCTCCAAGAAAATGAGTTCCCTTTCATGCTTAGAAGAATACAGGTTACATTCCATTTATCATCCCAAATGTTTTATCATTTGAGGATGAATTTCAATTCTATGAAATTTTGTTCTATGAAATGAAGCTTAAAATAGGTTCAAAATCTGCTGGAGCTTGGTAACATTTTATTAATGATATATTTTTTCATTCTAACAAGATTCTGTTTAATGAGTTTAGATCTTATACAAATAGCACAAGCAGAAATAGCTCAGTTTTAGAATTTTATAATATCTGTTGACAGATATGTTATTGAGACTGTATTGTGGGAAGGAGGACAAAACTAGTTTTCACAGAGGTATGGGGAGAGGGTAGAGTCATTGGAGGTTGATTACCCATTGACTAAGGGGAGGGGACGTGGTTAGGTGCAGCTCTGGAGCCAGTCACTCCCCAGCTTCAATGAGAATAGATCTCCTCTGGTCTGTTTCCTGTGGGTTTTGTCCTGTGTCAAGAGTTCTTGCCATTCTGGCTTCCTGTCCTCTCTCAGCTACTGCCTAAATAAAAAGCTACTCTTATCAGGCCAATCTCTCACCCATGCTAATTTCCACCAAGATGTGGCTCAAGCTACTCACTGCCTAAAAAGCCTCTTTTACCCCTCCAGCAGTTTATCCTTACACTGTCTTCAAGGAGGAAAGAATCGACTCCTCTCCAAAGTTGTCTTTAAACAACTATCTTCCCTGACTTTGAATTGCCTAATAGCTGACCTTTGTAGTTTAAATACTAAATCTCACTCTTGGGTATGTGTATGTGTGATGCTTTCAAGATAGTCTAAGTACTTTTAAGATATTTTCAAGATAGACTATTAATATAAACTCCTTTACAATGAGGGCTCATCTTTTGCTCCTTGTGTTAGTGCTGTTATTAATTCCAACACTATATCTTGAAAATGAAATATGGATTAAAACAGTAAGTACTGCCCAATTGTCATTATGAATACCAGAGATTTTAAACTTTTGCCATCTATCGAAATTTATATCAAAATAAGTATAGCTTTTTAAAACCCAAAATAAGTATGATTCTTAATAGTTGTGAAAATTTTTTCAGCTAAAAGGTGACAGAAAAAAATAAACGAGCTATATTTTGAAACTAAAAACATGATGGGTAAAGATAGTTAAAAACATAAAAGCTTTAAAAAGTGGGAGAGAAGAGGATAACCCAAAAAAGAGAAAAATTAGATTTTTATCATAAATATAATCTGAAAAAAAGGAGGGCTTCAAACTCAACAGAGATAGCATAAGAATGTTTCTTTAGTTATACAATGTTTTCTAGTAAGTAACAGTACAGAAAGTTAAGAACTAATTACTGGTGGCTCTCCTTAGACACTTGCAAATGCACATTTATTTGTTTAGGTTGTTGGTTTTTGGTCCAGACTCCAAAAGAATTGAAATTTTAATTTATATGTCTTCACTAAGTATGTGTTCATCCTTCATTCCAGACATGAGTATGTCTTTTACTATGCTGCTCAGTGAGTGCTCAGATGCCAGCAATGATGCAAGAAGCAGATTTCATGTTAATAAAACAAGGTCTTGAGGCACCTTTTATAAAGGATAATTGTAAGCAAGAACTTTGTTATGTTAAACCTTTGTGCATCACTGAATCAAACATAGATGGAAACCTAACTGGATCCAAAGAAAATAAAGAAGACCCTGAAAGGATTCAGAAGTGAGCACTAAGACACAGTAAAAGTGAACAACCAAAGCCAAAACGTGTGGAGGAGGTCAAAGTTAGAGTGAAAACAATTAAGTAGTATCTGAATTTGCTTATATTTCAGGGTGAGTGACCATATAATTTATTCAAACTGGAACACTTGGGCATAGTTAATAATTATGATGGGACAACCAGGACTGTCCCAGGAAAACCACAACATGTGGTAATCCTGTTTTAGAGGCTACTGTTTCAATGATGCTGAAAAACAGTATGCACTGGAACGTGAGCATAGGCAAAGTGTCGGCATCAGTGAGCTTCTCCTGAGTGCCAGCTAGTGCTATGTTCTGCAACTATAGTGATGAACAAAGTGGTCCTCAAAGAGCTTATAATATGTTTAGTGTGGGCATCAGCTTCAAAGGATCACCTGATATACCTCTGAAAGTAGATGAAATTCAAATGATATATATTTATTTAAATTTGATGACATACAAAAGCATTGTAAAAGGTGCTGAGATACAAAAAAGTCAAGATAAGGCTGCTTTCTTAAGATGTTTGTAATCTAGTTAAGAGAAAAGACCATTTGTAAAATTACTGTGTAAGACAAATATCAACTCAATGTGGCTGTGGAGTGTCATGAGATAATGCATAATTAATTGACAAGTTAATCATAAAGATGTAATTGTTAAAGGAGTTCCTAAAGCAATAATTTCCTTCAATAGGAGATGATTGACTTTATAGAGAAGCATTTGTCTCAGGTCTTGAAGACCAGGTAGGACTGGGGTAGATAGAGAAGAGAAGAGAAGGAGATGGAATATGAGAACTAAGCTCAGAGATAGGAATGTGTAGGGTGATTTGAAGGCCCTTAGATCAGCCCAAGTAGGGGAATAGAGACAGGGCTGGAAAGATACTTGACTTTTAAAAAAATTTTCCCCAAAGACTTTTTTACCTTTTTAAAAATTGAAATATAGTTCACTTATAATATTCTGTTAGTTTCAGGTATATAACATACTGATTTAATATTTTCATAGATTATACTCCTATATATATGACTATATATGAATATAAATGTATATTTATACACTATATACCCAGTAGTAGAATTGCTGAATCATATGGTTGTTCTGCAGTATTTTCAGTTTTCTGAGGAACTTCTATACTGTTTTCCATAATGGTTGTGCCAGTCTACATTTCCACAAACGTGTAATAGGGTTCCCTTTTCTCTGCATCTTCACCAATATTTATTTGTGGTCTTTTTGATGATAGGCGTTCTGACAGGTGTAAAGTGATAACTCATTGTGGTTTTGATTTGTATGTCTGTGATGATTTGGATTGTTGAGCATCTTTTTATGTGCCTGTTAGCCATCTGTATGTCTTTGGAAAAATATCTATTCAGGTCTTAGCCAATTTTTTAATTGGGTTGTTTGGTTTTCTTATATTGAGTTATATGAGCTGTTTATATATTTTGGAGGTTAGCCCCATATAGGTTATATCATTTGCAAATATTTTCTTCCATTCAGCAGGTTGTTTTTTCATTTTGTTGATGATTTCTCTTGCTGTGCAAAAACTTTTAAGCTTAATTAGGTCTCTTTTTTTTTGTTGTTTCTGTTTCCTTTGCTTAGAAGATAGATCCAAAAAATATTGACATGATTTATGTTAAAGAGTATTTCATTTTAATGTATTTTCTGCTAGGAGTTTTATGGTTTCCACTCTTAGCTCTTTAATCTGTTTTGAGTTTACTTTTACATATGGTTTGAGATGTTTTAATTTCATCCTTTTACTACAGTTGCACAGTTTTCCCAGTGCCACTTACTGAAGAGACTTTTGCAATTGTATCTTCTTGCCCTCTTGTCATAAATTTATTGACCATGAATGCATGGATTTATTTGGGGGCTCACTATTTTGTCCCATTGTTATATGTGTCTGTTTTTGTGTCAGTACCATACTGTTTTGATTACTGTAGCTTTGCAATGTATTCTGAAAGCAGGGTGTATGATACCTCCAACTTTGTTCTTTTTTTTCTCAGGATTGATTTGGCTATTTGGAGTCTTTTGTGGTTCCATACAAATTTTAGGATTATTTGTTCTAGTTCTTTGAAAAATGTCATGGGTATATGGGTAGAGTTTGTATTAAATCTGCAGATTATTTTGATAGTATGGTCATTTTAACAATATTAATTCTTCCAATCCATGAACACTGTATTTTTCCATTTCTTTATATCAATTTTTTCAGTGTTTTATAGTCTTCAGAGATTATGTTTTTCACCTGTTTAATTGTTTAATTCTAGGTATTTTTTTTCTTTGTTATGTGACTTTAGTGGGTTGTTTTCTTGATTTTTCATTCTGATAGTTCATTGTTTGTGTACAGCAATAAAACAGATTTCTGTATATTAGTCTTGTATCCTGCAACTTTTCCTGAATTCATTTATTAGTTCCAATAGTTTGTTGGAGACCTTAGGGTTTTCTTAATATAGTATCATGTTGTCTGAAACAAGAGATAGTTTTACTTCTTCTCTTTCAATTTGAATGTCTTTTATTTCTTTTTCTTGTCTGATTGCTGCGGCTAGAATTACCAATAATATGTTACATAAAGGGTGTCTTATTCCTGATTTTAGAGGGAAAGCTTTTACCTTTTTATTATTGAGTATGATATTAGCTTTAATTTTATCATATATTTATTTATGATATTGAATAAATATCTTTATTATATTGAAATATGTTTCTTTCATACCAATTTGGATGAGAGTTATTATCATGAATGGATGTTGAGTTTTGTCAGATGCTTTTTATGCATTTATTGAGATGATCATATGATTTTTATCCTTCCTGTTGTTAATGTGGTATACCACACTGACTCATTTGTAAATATTAACCCATTTTTGTATCCCTGGAATAAATCCCATTTAATCCTGCTGTATGATCACCTTTTTTTATATTTTTGGATTCAGCTTGCTAATATTTTGTTGAGGATTTTTGCATTTATATTAATCAGAAATACTGGCCTGTAATTTTCTCTTTTTTTGTAGTGTCTTGGTCTGATTTTGGTGTCAGGGTAATAACAGCCTTATAGAATGAATTTGGGAGTATTCCCTTCAATTTATTTTGAGAATGCTAGGTATTATCTCTGTCTTGTATGTTTGATAGACTTCCCTGTGACACATTCCAGGCCTGAACTTTACTTGCCTTAGTTGAGAACCGCAGTGGAGCAGAGCCCTGGGGAGTTTCAGGCTGCACCCTTTGCCTTATTCCCAGGAATAAGGAAGCACTGTGTCCTTTAAGAGGAGTGTCGAGGTTTCTTATACAGCCCTTCTATTTGTCCCACTGGCTTTAAAACCAGCTAAGGGTACTCCTCCTCTCAGGGTCAGACCTCAGGGCTGGGGCGTCCTCTCCTAGGGATGCAGGCCCTGACCTGATGGCGTTTTTCTCTCTTCCTCCCTGACTGTGTGGGTCTTTCTTTACAGCCATAGTTGTTGTATAAGAGTCTTCCTGCCACTCTCCAGCTTGTTTTCAGTGTTGTGAATTGCTCCACATGTAGATGTAGTTTTGATGTGTTCATAGGGTGCCTTGGTATCCTTGTACTCTGCCATCTTGATCTCCATTTTTTACCTTCTTGAAAGCAGCATTAGAAGTAGCAGAACAACCTCTACCATGACAGCTTTCATTCATGATGGGCAGTGAGTTGTGTGTATACCTGAATGCCTCCTACGTCTTCCACAGCGCTGGTAACCTCCCATCCACTTTTGGCTGCCAGGCTTTTGAGAGCCTCCACATTGCCATTACTCAAGGATACCTAAAGTGTAAATAATTGAAAAGCTGTGAGTTCTGTGCACAGATATGTGATCAAATATTTTCTGCTTAGAAAATGGATACTCTTAGAGCCAAAGTGATGATGTTGAAGTTAGAACTAAGTTATAGGAACATAATTTCTGTCTCAGACTCTTAATTCAGAATTCAGATAGGTCATGTGAATCCTATATGCTTAGGAAATTAGTATCATTTTAATTGGTATCTTAAGTAAAGACAAGAATACCCTTCAGTGTGACTAGTAATCAATGTGTGATAAGTAAATTTGGATTTCCCTTTATATTTCATGGTCAAAACGTTAAAATGACTAATACTTTTTTGTTGAGAAGGCGTGTCATTCAGCACAGACCATGATGAGACACTAGATCTCAATGTCCTATGTTGCTTGAATGCATTTGATGCAGATCAACCAGAGTCTGTAACTCAGTAACTATGTAGATAATTCAAACAAGGCAGTGAAGCAGCTGGCTGATGACTAGTTACTCATAGATTAGTTTTCTTTCATTCTGAGATGACAAGTTGCTATAATTCACCTCTACATCTAACCTGTGTAGGCACAACATGAGTCAGTTAAATAAGGCGGTTCCCATTTTTGTAATGAGTGATTTTTACATGAAAAACTTCAGATCATAAAATTGTCACCTGGTTGCCAATATCCCAGTGTATGCAAAGTGGAACTTCTTCTTTGTGGGAAATGACATATTTTCTGGAAAAAAATGAAAATGTTAAATAATAGTTTTCTTTCCTGTATCTAGCACATAGCAATAACTCTGACACTTTCTTGAAGTGAAATCAGCAGTTACAAAAAGCGGCCTTTACTGGTGGAACAACCAAGAAGAACAATTTTCATCACAGTAGCGTCCACAGTCAAAAAACATCAAACCTTCTCTTTTTATATTATGTGGGAATAGAGGCCCAGAGAGGGCTCTTCGCTATGTAATTTGTCAGATTAGAGTCCATAAAATCTTACACCTGAGTCCCTTACCTGCCTAGGCGAATTCTCTTGCGTGCGAGAGCTCCACGATACCGTCGAAAATCATCCTTAAATAAATTTTTTAAAAAAAGTAAAGTCAATACATTCTTAATATTTCTGTGCTATAATCCNAGAGTCCATAAAATCTTACACCTGAGTCCCTTACCTGCCTAGGCGAATTCTCTTGCGTGCGAGAGCTCCACGATACCGTCGAAAATCATCCTTAAATAAATTTTTTAAAAAAAGTAAAGTCAATACATTCTTAATATTTCTGTGCTATAATCCTTAAGTCTGTCTCTCCTAAGTCAGTTGAAAAGGATAACTGGGAAAAGGAGTCTCTATGTGAACTATCTTCCGGTCAGAGTTAGCAGTAAGGCAGCTTATTCCATAAGACTTAATCCCGATGAATGTAGAGCAGCATAGAGAACTGGCTATAAAGCTGGAAAAGAGTCAGAAATGAGACATGGAAGACATATGCTTCCAACAGCAGCATGTGGCTGAATAGATGTGAGGTCTTCAGGGCCTTCACCGTTTAAATAAAAGACCAGAGTGATTTGGAAAAAGAGGAAAAGGATCATTTTACTTTGTGAGGCAAAAAAGAAAGAAAAGCAAAGGGGAATGGACATGGAGGTTGTTGCCGGTGCAGGAAAAGATTCTGGGTGGAGCTCTGTACCACAGTTTCCCCCAGAATAAGTGGTCTGATTACTGAACTGCATGTGCTAATAACTGACCTTTGACATGGGTTTGATTTTGGGAAATGTGATCAGTTCTTCCTTATCATCGACAGCATTATAAATGAGAAAAGCACTGTTGATGTGACGGCCCCGGCTCTCAGACCACTCCTGGCAGTCAAAGGCCTCCACACGCACTCCAACTTCAACACTGCAGAAGGGCAAGAAGGGTAGTGGGCCGAGAGCCTGAGCAATACGCACAAACCAAGACCATCCTGGATCAAGTGGGAAATATAGTCAACCTTATTATGAGACAAAAACCAACTTATCATAACTTAGTGTAAGGAGGCCTCAGTGGAACAGGGGATTAATATGTATGTCTATAGATTTTGAACATGAAATTTCAAAAAAAAAATTAGAAGGAATGTGGTTATTTTAAAGTATTCCCTATACTCACCTCCAGGTTGAGATAAAACAAAGAACATTGCTTATGTGCAAGTTTGAATTCGTTTCATAGCTATCTTAAGAGCACCAGACATGCTTTACCAGGTCTGAAATGTGTTGTTGACAATGGCGTTGAAGACAAGACGGTCTCCAACTGTAGATGGTCCCCGGAACTTAAACATGTCCACGGACTTCAGAACAGGATGCGCTCGACACAGGCGGCTGGTGAAAGAAAGGGAAGGGGAGAGAGAGAAGAAAGTGATCATTCTCCAAAATGTTTTCAGGAGGTACTGCGCTTTGCTTAATGGATGCAATAGACCTGTGTTCGGGGTGCTTTCTAATGAACATCTCTTTTAGCTCAAGAGGGTAACAAATAACTGGATTGTGTGTGTCGAGAGTGGTCCTGTAACATTATCTGCAAATATTTTAGGGAATACAATGTCCCAGTCTGTGGGTGGCTGTCCCAAGATGCTGGTGCTTCTGCTCTTGTGGTGACAGTCCTGTTCTTGTTTTGTGCCCTATGGAAGTATCTCCAAAAACAAACAACTGTCTTTTGCTCTGATTTCAGAGTTTTCTTCCTCCTGACAGCTTGGGACTACAGTCACAGAAAGCTGTGACTCCCAGGTTGGCATAGGAAACAGTGAAGAGAACTTTCAGCTGATTCCATTCTCATGAGTTCCTTGGCGTCACTGTTACCTAAATTCACCCACATGTCAAAGACCAATTCTTCTTCCCCACAAAAAAGTTACCTGCATTGCTGTACAAAGCCTGAAAGGCTGCAAGGTACACATTTTACAGGTTTTTGGTATACGAAGTTTTGAAAATCTATAAAGAAAATTTGATCTCAGAAAGTTACTATAATTGTCTACATTTTAGATTCCCACTGTGGTCATTCAGTTACTCTAAAGAATTCTGCCAATGATAAGTGAACAGATTCTGCCGTAGTTAATTATATTGTAAGCCTTTATAGTAGAATAGGCTTAAATGCTTTATTGTCATTAAGAATGACAATGTTGTTTTAAAAACAAGCTCTTCCTCCAACTAATAAAAATAAATGGAAAATAAATAAATAAAAAAATAAAAACAAGCTCTTATATTTGTGCACAATTTTAGGATAACCACAGGTTTCTAATTATAGTCATAACCATAGACATATTAATAAATAAAATTCTTTTAATTTAGGGAAAATAAAACCTTAACAATTTTCAGTGGTTACAAAAATTGTCAGAAGGGCAGATCCTGTTCAAATGCATTTTCAGAGACTACAGTGTTCTTTAAAGCTGCCCAATTACCTACATGGCTCCATTAAGAATGAAATTACCCTTTTTGAAACTGAGCAACATTTAAAAGTACTTTTCCAAGTTCTTCCCTCTTTCTCATTATATTTTTCAGTTAATCCTTTGGCTGTAATGATTCTAACCAGCACCTTCAGAGGTCAGACCTAATTGTGAACCACCTTTTAAAAAGTTTGTATCTTGACTGTTTTTAAGTGTAATGGCTGTCTTCTATTCCTGTTTTCCATCTACTTTGTGATAACTAACTTTACAAGAGTTGCAAGATTAACAGTCATAATTAACAATAACTCTAAGAACTGTCATTTCCTTTTTTATTTTTGAACAAAGAATTTAAACTTTAACCCTCAGGAAAGGACAGAATAATTCTCAGGTAAACAGGAAGATGACTGATCATTTTCTCAGTTTGATAAAAGGCAACATTGTTCTCTGCTTGTTCCCTTGACTCACCCAGTAGCCAGCCTCAGAACCTTCTGCCCTCTCCTGACTAGTCTCAAGATCACAACCAAGGGTTAAAACCAAGAACCTTGCAGAAATAGTAGCCACCGCCTCCATCCAAGCCATAATCTGGCCACCAAATGTATTTCCATGATGGTTTGCATGGGGTGGGAGGACAAGTTCAATGCTCTGAACAGAAGTGCCCCTTGTGGAAACAGTTCCTTCCTCATCATCACAAACGGGATCTGAAAGGTAGACATAAACAAAAATGGTAGAGTTAAATGCAGAACCTGAGGCTATAACCTTTCCTTCAACTCGTGAGATTTTTAGAAAAATTAAATTACTTTTAATTTTTCTAAAAATTAAATATTATTAATTAAATAATAATACTTAATTAAAAATTAAATATTATTACCGAAGGCTTAAGTTGTGACCAACCCAGATAGCATATTAAAAAGCAGAGACATTACTTGCCAACAAAGGTCTGTCTGGTCAAGGCTATGGNTCCAGGAGTTGGTGATGGACAGGGAGGCCTGGCGTGCTGTGATTCATGGGGTTGCAAAGAGTTGGACATGACTGAGCAACTGAACTGAACTGAACTGAACTGAACTGAAGACTTAAAACTCCCAAGGAAATGAATAGGTTTTATTTAACAGTTAGCTGGGTAAGACAGCAGATCAGAAAGGGCATTTTAGAGATTGTATTCCAACCTGTTTTATAAGTCAACCAGAATTTTGATCAAAAGAGTAAGTAAGTTTAAATTTGAGTTGCTTCAGGTGGAGAAAGGGCAGATTAGAGCAGGTTAGGGCAGAAAGAAATTTGGGGATTGACGGATATGTTATTGTCTTGGTTATGGTGATGGTTTCATGGGAGTGTCCATGTCTCAAGACCTATCAAGTATAACTTTAAATATGGCCCATTTATGGTAAAAGTTAATGAAAAGAAAGGGATTTGAGCTTTAGGGGCCATGGACACTGAGAATCTGGAACTGTTTGCTGCACTATAAACTTCAGAATGGGAATATGGCCTCCCCCGGTGACTGCTGTGTAATGAAAGCAGTCACAAAAAGAAAAGACACAATACGTTCTTCTTAGTGTCTTTCTGCTCCTTTTGAATCATATCTGCTTCATTTACTGACAAATTGGTTTTTCCTGTCAACAATGGAGAAATCATTTACTTTGGCTGCAAAGCAGTAAAATGTATTCAGTTATACTTCCTGCATCATCAAATGAATCACCAGCTAGGCTTAAATCTCACGTGCTGTTGTTGAGGAGGTGGGGAGGAATTACAAATCAGGGATGCCATGCTGGTTGGACTCTCGGAGGCAGAGCTGAGCTGGCAGTGTGAGAGCACAAATATGCCCAGCTGTTGTTGGTAACTGGGAATGGAGCCCTCCTTGGCACATTTACATATAAGTCAGCAGAAAAGTGCGGTTACAGAGATTTTCATTCCATTTCCTAGTGTAAATTTTATATTTTTAATTAACTGTCTTTTTCTTGTACTTTTTTCCCCTGCATTTCACTGATCATTTCAGTCCCCTCCTTAAAAACATGCAGTGACTTCCCCTTGGCCTATTGGGAAAGCCTGAATCATTCTTATGACCCCCAAGCCCTTCCTTTCTTATCTGGCCCATGCCTACCTCTCCAGCCCCAGCTAGTCTGAATGCCAGTAGCACCCCTTCTTCCCCCATCACATCTTCTCTTAATCTCTTCTCTCCCTCCATTCCAGCCACTCCAGCATTTTTCAGCTCCTATAACTAAAATGCCATCTTCAGCATCAGGGCATTAGTACATGGTCTCTCTGTCAGTAGCAGTTCCTCTGGCCACCACCACCATCTTCCATTTACCTCCTGTTCTGTTTTGGCCCATCTCAGTTACCATTTCCTTGGGAAGGCCTTCTCTGACCTCCACAACTTGGCTCCTACTGTACCTTTCTTTCACAGTCACAATTTTATGTTTGTTTGTGTGATCTTTGATTATCTAACGCCCTAGATCCTGAGCTCCTTTGGGTAAGGATTGATTTTTTAAAATCCTAATGGAATTCCAGAATGTAGGTGCTCAGTCAGTATTTACTGAATGAATGGATAGATGGATGGATGAATAAACTTACCTTTGCTGATTTAAGACTTCCCTGGCAGCTCAGAGAGGAAGCTAAAAAGCCTGAATCAGTTCTAATGAGATGGATGAAACTGGAGCCCATTATACAGAGCGAAGTAAGCCAGAAAGATAAAGACCATTACAGTATACTAACACATATATATGGACTTTAGAAAGANAATTGATGCTTTTGAACTGTGGTGTTGGAGAAGACTCTTGAGAGTCCCTTGGACTGCAAGGAGATCCAACCATCCATCCTGAAGATCAGTTCTGGGTGTTCATTGGAAGGACTGATGCTGAAGCTGAAACTCCAATACTTTGGCCACCTCATGTGAAGAGTTGACTCATTGGAAAAGACCCTGATGCTGGGAGGGATTGGGGGCAGGAGGAGAAGGGGACGACAGAGGATGAGATGGCTGGATGGCATCACCGACTCAATGGGCATGAGTTTGAGTAAACTCCGGGAGTTGGTGATGGACAGGGAGGCCTGGTGTGCTGTGATTCTTGGGGTCGCAAAGAGTTGGACACTACTGAGTGACTGAACTGAACTGAACTTGCTGATTTATTCCACATTCACAGTCCTTACTATCAACAGGATATTTTTAGGCAACAAATGATTGTACTGATTCATACTTCTGTTTTTATAATAGTTTCCCCAGCTCCTCATTTTCACTTAATTAGTGTTGTGGACCCTTCAGTTTTTTTAGTTTTGTGGGTGTGATATAGTGTCTCGTGGTGGTTATACTTTGCATTTCCCTGATTAATAATGAGGTCCAAAATCTTTTCATATGCATATTAAACTTTCCTATTACCTCTTAACAAAATATCTGTGTTGTTTGCTTCAAATGTTACTTCTCTCCCATTCTTTTTCTCCTCTCTTCGTGGAACTTTGATTAGATGCTTCTTAGACTTCTTACTCCATTCTGTCTCCTAATCTCTCTTGTATAGTTTTCATTTCCTTGTCTATCCATCTGCATTCTAGATAACTCCCTCAGATTTACTTTCCAGTTTACTATCTTAGATGCTGTTTCATTATTAAGTTTTAAATTTTAATTATTATATATTCTTTTTGCTTCTTCGTCTAATGTTCTAGGTCATTTTCTTGTTCCTACATAATACTTTTGATGCTCTTTTATTTCTTAAAATATATTTACCTTATTTCAGATTCTTTATGTGTTAAATTCTATTTCTTTAGTCTTCCTTGCAGGCTTCATTCTGTTGTCTGGTGCTTTTCTGAATTCAGGTGACTTACTTTTGTCTTATGATTCTTGTCTGAGAGCTCACATTCCTTGGATCTCTATCTATGGGGGTTCTTGAGGACTGAGCTTAAAGTCATGTCTGCACAGAGGATTTGCATTTGTGGTTGCAGATCACCCGTGATCTGCAGTATGAATTCACACTAGGTTTTACTTGGTCTGTTTCAAACCAAACAAATTATGTGAATTCTGACACCAAACATGCTTGAGAATGCAGTTGTGATTGAATCCTCAAAGAGAAACAAGTGTTTTTCCATTCCACATAGGGCTAAGTGGAAAGCATGCCAACCAGAGCTCTCGGAGGCATGGTTTTTCCAGTTGACCCACCGAGGGTATCATTTTGGAGGTGTTTCAGCTCCAGGCCTGGTTCCCTGATCCAGCTTCCCACTTGACTGTGCCTCCTTCTGAGCTCAGGCAGGCCCCTTAAAACACAGCTCAGGGTCTATCACCTACAGGGTCCTCCTTAGCAAATGCCAGCTCTTGTGTCTCCTTACACTGCTGTATTTGTGTTTCTGATCATTTATGGACTTGAAGCCTCTTTCTTAGTTTTCTGCCTGCTGAGATGTGTTTGTAAATATTTTGTCCAGAAATTTTAGATTTTTTTCAGACTTCGAGTCCACCATATTGCTGTAATCAGAATTGGATTGCTTCCTAAAGTAATTCTTAAAAGCATATGAAATCTTAAATTCTTAAATCCTTCCAACTTCTATCTTTTTTAAGTACTGATTTTGCTAGATAATTTTTTATAAACATCCAAAACTAGTACTGATTGAGATTTTTTTAAGGTTAATTTCTCATACTCAAATGATACTTTTTTGGTTCAAAATAAATTAATATAAATTATCTGTACAATATATAGCTAAATAAAAAAAGAAAGGTGTGTAATTGTTTGAATATTGTGTTACCAAGGTAAAATTAAAAAAATAAGAAAAGACCTTATACTGTGAGAGACTTTGTAAAGACTCAGATATAAGGCAACTTCTTTTCTGATGGATAACTAAAGAAAAATTTACTTGATTCCTGTAAAGACATACATGGCATACACTGGGGTACATAGAACTGTGTACTAGGGCAGGTTGCATGTGTGTAAGGATCATCTAGGAAATGTATACAGGAATGTATTCAGTATAGGGGACCTTGGTGCAGAAGTATGCCTATTTGGAGGTAATTGCCAATCACTGGGGAAATGGGACGCTCCCCGGTTTAGACTAGAGACCAGTCTAGGCTCAGAGCTTTGGTTGTACACCCATGTTAAGGACAGTAAACAAACCTCATCCTTTCTATTGGTGGGACATACTCATCTGAAGGTCAATTTCAGTTCTTGTACTTTGGATGTTTATAAGTATTTTTTCATTCCTCTTGGACAATGTTACATTTATCCCACATTTTTTTTGGTCAGGAACTTTGACCTGAATTGAGGTTATTCTGTCTTTGGTTTTCTGTCTCACTACCAGAAAAGACCAGGACAGTGGCAGAATGCACATTCTTTTCAAGTGCACATGGAACCTCCTCCAGAATATGATCACAATCATATAATTAAAGTTCTTGTAAATAGGTTTACTAACTGTCAAACTTGCCACCTTCCTTCATCAAGTTTTTAAAGGTATCTTCATGTTGTAATCGAACTTTCCTTCTCTCAGATGCCAGATTGTGTTCCACATGATCTTGTTCAGTTAGAAGTGTGACTGGTTTTAATTGAATCTAGAAAAAGAAAAACATTTATCTTTCATTGCCTTGTTAAATTATAAAAGCACAACATGAACTTTGCAAAAACAAATAATATGCCACATTATTTTCTAACTCAAAGTAAATAGAGCATTTATGGATATGTACATTTAATGTACATATAATGGATGTGTACATTTTATTTTGTCTTAATTTTTTTCTTAAAATATTTTTAAGCTAAAAAAATCAATGTAGGCTTCATAATTTGTTCATATAATATGTGCCTTTGAAAAGTTTTCCAAATATTAATTTTCCCTGATTTAAAAAGTTTTCAACAGAATTACAAAAGAAAATATTCTTCAAATTAATGAATGAGGAGAAGGTCTTTGACTCCACTAAATTCTTATCAAGAAATGTTTTCTACCTTTTGAAAAATTAAGATATCAGAGGGAGAGAAAGATATTCTAGAGAAGGCTGTCATGATATTCCCTATTTGGAAATTTCATCACATGATGGGAACATTGTCTAATAAACAAACTGAAAGAATCAGTATGTCAGAATAAAGCTCCAGCTGACCTCCAGAAACCTGGAAATGTGATACAACAGAAGCAAGGGCTCAAGTTCTTCCAGAAATGCCTGACTGCTGTCCTGTGTGTGAGTCACCTTGCAGCTGGACTGGGAGAGCTCCATGCTTATTTACAGGCCATGTAAAGTCTGACCCTTGACCAAGATAACAGTGAAATAGCTAGCGATTTCTAATACGTGGTTAAAGTCAAACTCCCCTGGATGACCTCATTCAACTTGTTTAGGAGTGTAATGACTAATAGCTTATACTGGTTTAACTAATTACATAGCTTTATTTTAGTTGTGTGACCAGTGGGGTGCAAAAGACCACCAGGTAAACTAATGTTTTGGCTTTCTAATCTGCAAATGAAGTACATTTTGTGTGCTAAGAGCTTTGGCTGGAAGTCTTGAACGTCTCGGATGTTTGCTGTGCCATTTCCTTTAGCTTCAGTAAGGCCTTACACGTGCTTACCCTGTGGAGTCTTGGGAAGCGTTCTGTGATCTGGCCTGTGTCATTGTTGAACTAGACTGAGTTAATCATTGCCCATCTCATCCTGGAATGAACTCACTTGGGACAGAGACCCAGGTGGCCCTGTCGGTTCAAACCACTGATTTTTCATGGCTCTCTTAATGGTGTGCTACTGAGTAAGAATGTTGCCAACTAGAAAATACAGGTGTTTTATAATAAAGGTTATCTGAGCTAACCAATTATGGCAGCACTTAGGGCACTCGCTATCTCAGAAGCACTGCTGGAAAACAGATCTTTAGGCTCAGCAGAGACTAGACTGAAGTGTGGCTATACTATTCTTATTCCACGAGTCCCTGAAGCTGGAGGGGGAGGAAGATGGGCTTCGTTTTCTCCATGTGAAGGAATGATTTGGGGAGGTGGATTCCTTTCTGTCACTTGCTCTCAGAGATGAGAACCCTGCAACCACCCCCATATTCTCTCATTCACAAAAGTTTGGAGATTCAGAGGGGATTCCAGGAAAAACAGAATGTTTGACAAGACCTGTCTCAGTGTCTCAATGATTTTAGTGAACATAGGATCCCTAGGATGCTTTGTCAAAGTACAGATTCCAAACTCCTATACTAGTGATTCTAATTCAATAGGTCTGAGATACAGCCCAGAAAGCTGCATTTTTTTTTTTCTGAAAGCTGCATTTTTATAATATAATAAGTGATATGAACTTCAGTTTGAAAAAACAATGCCCCTGGGCAATGGCGATTTGCTTTGTGGTCTACTTTATATCAGAGAGTGGAAGAAGTGTCCCAGTATACAAAACTGCAGAGACACCTGCCACCCAGGCACCACCCTGGCCTAACTAGGCCCTGGTCCATCTGTGTGCCTCTTGGCCCAAGTGAGGAGTTGCTGGTGACTGCTGCTTTTGGGTACAGGGAAAACTTTGCTTTGTCCCAGCTGACCGTTCCATGTGAGGAAGACTTTTGCAGAGTGAATAGTACTTGTGGAGCTAGGAGAAGCCACTGTGCCTACTTCTAAAGCAATCCTTCAAGTGAAAGATTTGAGTTCTAAATTGAATTATTACATTTTAAAATGCTTATACTAAGTGTGGATCCTCCCCTAGGTATTCTGGCTCTAAAAAAAATCCAAGAAATTATAGTAAGTCTGCAGTAGACAAAGGACAAGCTGCTCTGGGCCAATGCCAGGCAAGTCCACTGGAATACCTACATCAGGCCAACATATTTCTCTTAAGGGTGTTTTTACACCATATGGCCTGCAGCTTATTTTCAAACTTCAGTAACTCAGCAACTTTGACATTATTCCTTTAGGTTTGAAAAAGTGATTGGACCATAATGCACAATCGGTAGCTAAAATGCTCTTGCTTTAAAAAATATTTTAACTCAATTTTGAGTTACATAACCATAAAAGAACCAAACCAGTAAGCAATATTTTTGGGAAACTGATATGACCTTCAGATCACTTAAAACACAGTGTTTTTTCCCTCTTTCACAAACTGGCTACATCTCTCAATTTTTCTAAGGTAGTTAATACTGTGATATCATTGCATAAGTATTGGTGACAGTTACAGTAAGTATTGGTGAATAACAAATCTTGGGAAAGCGTATTCCTGGTAAGAAAGAATGTCCCTTACCTGTAACAATTCTGATGCTGGTAATTCTGTTAATGAGTCCCTGAATTATATGCTAGATACTTTTCAGACAGAAATTTACCTTTTCTTTTCCAATTGGTTTGGCTACAAAGGTAGAGAAAGCCACACTAACAAGTTTCTCAGTGCCAGTGAGCATGTCTTCTACTGTAACCTTGATGCTGATCTACAGTGGAAAGAAAAATAAAAAATTTTCAGTCATCCAGACAACAGATGACACTGTGGCATTCAAAATTCATTTATGCACTTCACCATTGCTTTGTTTTTTGAATAAAACCAGTATTTTAATTTACTTTTAGTCAGTATTGTCCTCTCCATGATTTTCTATTAAACTGAAAAAAAATCTTCTCTGATTACATAAAAATATATATTTACCATGGAAAATTTTATTAAGTATAAAAATAAATGATAAAAATGGAATCTATCAAGAGTAAATATTATCACTAATCCCATCACCCAAATTAATAATTACTGACCTTTATATAAATTTTCTTCCAGTGTTATATACATACATATGAAATGTGTCTATATGTATATAGATGTGTATGTATATGTATCTGTATACACACACACAAAAGACTATCATACTGTATTTACAGTTTTATATCTTACAACTGGGGCATTTATTAAACATTTTCAAATCCTATTATTACTAAATGTGCTTTTGAAAATAAGATTTTAACAAATGCCTTATAGCCCACCAGAGAGGTGTACCATAACTATTTTTACTCTTCAGTCTCAGTTTTATAACCAAGTTGACATGGATAAAATGTTATTTATAGTCATGTTATTTGCAGCTTTGTTTCCTCTTTTAGGAGTTTTCTTTTTCAGGATTAGCAAGAATTGGCTAAGACACTCTATGGTGATAGCACAGTGGACTGGATTTCCCACATGAAGAACTCTGAAGCTTAGGTCCTTATCATGATCACATTCTGCAGAAGTGCGGGAACTTAGCCCAGATAAATAATACTATCTTCTTGAAACAGTGGGCAACCTCGCCCATCTTAGTTCAGCACTGTGTTATCAATGATAGTATCTATTTCTTCGTCTTCACCAAGTACATCATGTCCAGAAATAAACATCAGTCAGTGAGTCACTTAACTTATGAAACCAAATTAGTATTTGCATGGTAAATGTAAGTTAACTAGATGGTGATTAACCAGATTTACACCATCCATTCTCAACTCCCAACAGCTCTCACCCACATAACTTTCTACTTTCAGAGAAATAGGCAGATGAAAAATAGACAACTAACGGTAAAAACAAAGCAACCGTTTTGGAGAATTAAAGCAAGTTCTGAGCCTTGTCTTCTATTAGAATAGTTAATGACCAAATGTCTCAAAAACACATGCCAGGGAGAATTTCACTTTCTGTCATGACATAGTAGGTCAGTTTGGAACCATATCGTATGAAAACAACTGGAAAATTGGACCAAGGATAGGAAGCAACTGTTTTCACATATAGAACAGCAGGCAATGCAGAGCTGGGTCTCCACAGAAAGGGAAGATTAATGAGGGGAGCACTTGCCTGGGCTCTCATTCTACAGGCAGTTCCCAGACTATGACCAAGGAGGGGAAATGGGAAACACTGAAATGAGGACCCAGAAATCAAGATCAAGGCAGCTGAGATTGTCCCAGAAAGGAAGGAGCTACAAAAGGAAAGAATCCCAGGTATGTGCATATTGTCCCTGTTGAGTGTTTAGGTTGATACCAGTCTGAGCCTGTGTAGGGTGAAATTTCACAAAGCCAGAAAAGAACAGTTTCTGCGGAAGAAACAATTGTAAATTGAGCTCTTGTAAAAATTCCAAGAGCTCACAGAGCCCTGGGAATCTGGTATTCCCTCCAGCCAGACCTCACTGAATACACAACACATTCATAGAGACCACGGAGGACTACAACTTTGTAGAGAGACTAGATCAGCCCTAAATGGGGCTAGTATTTATTTATTTTTCTTCAGATCAGAAATCTATGCTTTCCACTCAGTGGGTGTTTTGTTTTATTATTATTTTTTTCTCTTTTCTGTTCTTTTCTTAGCTTTTAGTCAAACTTCCTTTGGAAATTCTTGCTGGTCTCAGGAAAAAGGACAGGAGAAAAGAAAGGGGACTTTCATCTACGCATGGGCTGAATAGAGGGAGAGTACTATCTCTCAGGAGAAAGGCTAGGCCCAGAGGCTACCATGTGCAGAGATCAAGAGCCCTATGGTTGAGAATCAGAATCCAGAAGCACTGTTACACTGTCTCTGACATGGCTCATTTTATCCACAAGTTTGTATAACCTTTCTGAATTCTTCAAGTTTTTTGTACCCTGTTTATATAGATACTAGGGGAAAGTGAGGACTAAATCAGGGTAAAGCCATCACCATAGGTATGGTTATTACCAAAACAGTTCTGTTATGGGTTAATTTGTGTCCCCCACCAAATCTGGTACCTCAGAATGTGACCTTATTTGAAAATGGGGTGTAATTATTTACAACAAGGTTCTTCTGGAGTAGGATGGACCTCTAATCCCATATGACTGGTGTCCTTCTGAAAAGGGAAAACGTGGACACATCAACACAGCGGGGAACACCATGTACGGACAGGCTGAGATCGGGGTGAAGCAAATCACTGGCAAACCACCAGAGGTGAGGAGAGAGGATGGGGCAGATTCTTTCCCATAGCCCTGGAAAGGAACCGACCCTACTAACACCCTGATTTAGGCTGCTAGCCTGCAGGATGGTGAGGCAATCAGTTTCTGTTACTTAAGGCACCTAATCTGTGAACCTTCGTCATGGGAGCCCTAAGATACACATATAAGTCCCTACATGTCATTTGTGCCCAGAGAGCAAAGGGACCGCTACTAACCAACCTACAAGTTGCAATATGGGATCCAGGAAATCCTTTCCTGCTATTTTAACCTGCATTGAGACCTTTGTATTTCTGAGAATTTTGTATTCATAACTATAGTAAAGAAAAGAAAACTAAGTAGATGAAGAAGAGAAGTCTAAGCTTCCCTTCTTGCTCCAGTTACTCTGCCTTTCAAAAACTAGTTAATTGTGGGGCTGGTTTTCATTAGGTGTGAGGAGATGGAGAAAAAGTGGAGTTAGAATATTAATAGAGTCAGAATAACTAAGAAATAAAACCCATACCTGGCAAAGAACCAAGAGTCCTTCTCCCCTTGTATGTTTACTTTCTGTGTACCCTTCTGTGCAAACACCATTCATTGCATCACATTTAATTGTAGTAGCAGGGAAACATAGTCTCCTTATTTACCTGTGAGCCTGACTACAGATTCAAGGGCCTTCCGACATTCAGAATCTCATAAACTCTGAGTTACTCCAGGCTTCCCCCTTGGCCCTCTGTAAACAATAAAGAGATGAGCACTGACAGGCAGTAGGAAGAAAAGGGAGCCTCTTACCTCCATGCTTGTGCTGAATGCTCTACTAACTTTTGCTTTGATGGTTATAACTTGTCCAACTCTAGTGGAAAAGAAAAAAACCTCAGTAATTCTAGCACATCTCGCTTCAGACTTGAAGATTCACTTAAATATGTGCCACGGGACAGTTCTACCTTACCATGTTGATAATGCTCATGTATGAAAAATGCAAATTAATGATAACAAGACAGCACCAAAAACAGATGCAGATCTTGTAAACCACACATGTGTCAGCTGACTAGCCTCTTAACAGAAAAGGGCCTTTGCTAAGATGATGTGCAAAATGATTTCCAAATCTACACCTTGTACCACAGCTGTTTCCTAAAGAGAAGTTACAACAAACACATGCAAACCTATGCAATTGGTATTTTAAAATGTTGGTTAACAAGTAAATGGATAGACATACAAGCAAGCAAGCAAACAAATGGAATAGCTTCACTAGGCTTATAGGAGCACTCTGTTGCCAGATGATTCATTCACTCCACATTATTTCTGGAACTCTGATCATGTAACCACAAGTTGTTTGAAAGCTTTTGTGTTTAGGCCCCTCAGTCACCTAAGGGTCTATCCAATACAAGCCTCCTCAATTTTTCTCCCTTACTTCAGAGGTGAACTGGTGAAAATCTATACCTCATTTAAGGCCCATATTAAATACTACCTCCATCATGAAACACTCATTGATTCTCTAGTCAACATGTACCTCCCAGAACTTATAACTCACCCTAGGCATGCATCCTGTATTCTGATGACTATGTATTTGTCTGACTTTCTTACCAGACTGAATGACTGCCACACTCCAGAATTGTGTCATAATCATTCACATATCCTCTTGAGCCTAGACCAGGACTTTTGGTATATGCAATATATATTTGTGAGTTAAAAATATCTGATATGGCTTTTAACCAAATTATATGGCTTTCTATAGGTAGCTTTCAATTTTCTTAATTTTTAATGGTGTGGGTCCCATGTGTTTTAGTGGCCACAAATCCTTTCTGATAACACAAACACAACATAGTACAAATGGCAAACTACAATCCAACGCTGAGATTACTTGTTAAGTCTAAGTTATAGAATTTAGGATTGGAAAGTATATAATAGATATTTTATTGTAACATACTGTTGGCTTTCCTAACTTAATAATGGTGCTTTAATGTGTTCTCAAAGAAGTTTGCATTTTCAGTAATCTGTAATTTTGTTGAGATAAAGACACGTGTCAGCTTTTTCTACTTGAGGGAAAAAAAATCACATAGTGTTTGCACTTAGTCAGCAGACCTTCATCTGTATCTACAAATCTCTAGAATGTCAAAGGCTCTTTCAGACACTGCAGCAGACAATGAGAACAAGTATCAGGAGATGTTCAATAAAGATTGCTGATCACAAAGATAGAAGAAGTGGGTTGGGGAAAGCACTGGATAGAGCGTAAGAAGATCCAGGCTGTAAGTGCCCTCTGACCTTTGGCTGGCTATGGGGCTTAGGCCTCGGGTTCTTATCAGTGCAAAGATGACTGCATTGAGTTCTAAAGGTCTCGCCGTATCTATGATTCTAATGCCTACCAAAAATTTCTTTTGGATTAGCTTTGAGGGTATAATTTTTTATGTGTGTAGTTTTATTTAACTTAATTTTGTTTGTATATAAATGGATAGGTGCCAGATAGATAAATGTAAGCCGAAGATTGGAGAGATGAACTGGGCATCTCAGTGGACAGACTCCCTAGGGTTTGAAAACTGGTGGCAACTATGCCATGATCCTTGGGAAGAGTCCCATACTAGCAGCAGACAATCTTCTCTCTTCCTTTTTTTTTTTTTTTGTAAGTTATGTTTATTTCTTTTGGGATCAAGATATTCAGAAAGAAAAAGAGATACAAACATAAAATCAAATAAATAAAACTATATGACCCTAGTTCATTAGAATTACTAATATGACCTCTTAAAAAAACATAATTCCGAATTCTGCCACCAGAAAGGTATAGAAATAATGACCAACCCTGTATCAGTGAACATATTAAACAGGAAGACAGCAGATTCAAAATGTGGTAAACTGTATAGGACAAAAGACCAGGTTTCTTTAAAAAATAAATTGCAAGAGAAAAGAAGAAAAGGAAAATTTGATGTTAAAGGTCACATCAGCCATATTGGTTCCTGATTCAATAGACCAATTGTTTAAATTAAAAACAAACAAATAAACATTTTTTAAGACTACTGGGAATGACAGTTTTTGTTAATGGTATTGTGTCTATGTTATTATGTTTTCTAAAAGAGCCCATTTTTTTAGAAATATATATGAAATATTCAGAGATGATTATGGGATTTGCTTAAAAATAGTCCAGGTGTGTGGGGGATTATGGAGGGGTACTGATGAAACAATATCGTCCATGAATTGATTATTGTCATAGTTAGGTGTTGGGTCCTTGGGGATACTTGGTACTATTCTCTCTTCTTTTGTATATAGTTGAAAGATTTGTATATCTTGAAATTTTCTACAGTAAGAAATGGTAAAACATACACACTCCCACATATAAAATGTTTTTCATAATTTAACATCCCTACTGAGATTAATTAATATTTACCCAACAACCTAATGATGAAATTCACCGTTTTAGACATACTTATTATCATTAATTATTCCTAGTAAAGGAAGAAGCCATTTAAGAATCAGCTTTTAGAAATCCTGTAATGCCTTATACCAAAAGGCATTTAATGCTGAGAGCTATTTCTTAATAATTATCAGGGCTATAAATTTTACACTAAGAGTATTTACTAAAAGTAGGTCCTGAAATTATTATTATCTACTGATTTACATTGGCTCAAATACTACTTATTAACAAATTGGATCTCTGACTCCAAATGAGTAAGCTTAGGTGCCACAAATACATATTGTAAATGAAGTAATAAACCCAGGGGAAAGGCATGATAAAGCAATGCCACTTACCTAGCTGTTGCTTCAAACTGTATGTCATCCACTGAGGCTGTGACACAGGAAACGCCAGCATGTTTTTCAGCTTCAAAAAATAGGTTAAAAAAAAAGGGGGCTGGATTAGTTATGTTTATATACTTCCGCATGCAGGAAGAGGAAAGAAACAAGTGGGTTTATTCTAGTAACTCATCCTCTGTTCAATACAGGACCACTGTGCCCACCCTTCTGAATGAACTGTATTGATAACAGTTCCTTTGCTTGATAAGTTATTTTTCTACTGCATGGTAATTACTGTACTTCCTCCAAAGTTTTAACTTACACTCTTCTTTGATTTGAAATTTAACGCCAATACCCAGCATATCTAGCTACTTGAATAGTAACTTCAATAAGTTGGTGTCAACTTTAACTATTTTGTCAAGTACTACCCTTCTTTAAAAAAAAAAACAAAAAAAAAACAGTGCATCAGAGCTGTAGCTATTATCCACGTAACCAGTAGCTGAATATATTTAAACCACTTAACCACTGTAAGCACTGAACAGTAAAGAAGACTTCAAGGTCATATCCCAAATCAGAGAGAAACGTGTCTTGGCGTCAGAGAAATAGGGATGGGCATGTAGTAAGTATTTAATCATTATTTACTTATTACTACTAAATCCATATGAAATTCACTTGCATTAATTATGCTGGAGGAGGAAAGCGTTCAGTAGGGTGAGAGGTTCGGAAGGAGCTCCAATTATTTCCATGGTCCCTGTCTGCATTATTTAATTCGTTGAGTTTTTTATTTTTTATTATTGTTGGTTTTACTTTATGTAAAAGTATCAGAATTTATCCTCTTTGGGAAAAATTTTGACATGTGTCTTTTCCAGAGTTTCATTTTGAGGAACAATTAAAACCTAAACAGACTGACTGCATTAGCTTTTTCAGAAATTTTAACTCCATTTTAATTTTGCAGACTTCACTCCTAGTGCCATATTATGAAAAAGAAGGAGATAGTGAATTATACTGAATCTGCATTCTCTGTGTACAGAGGATTACTTTAATTGTAATATATATTGACAGTCCCAGGTAAAGAGATATGATAAAGTACTCTAGAGAGCAAGTATGTGAAACATTCCTCCCTATGATCTAATTCTGTAGAAAATGGGACATTCTGGTTTTACTCATTGGAAATAGCTATTCTTCCAAATATGCACATGACCTAAACTGAGTTACTAGAAAACTAACCATAGCAGAACTGTGTATGTGAGTGATGGAGAGGGGAGAATGGGCTTCCCAGGTCTGAAGTTCAATTAGAGAAAAGACACATAAAAATATTAGACTCTAGAAATGCTCAAGGTGGGCTCAGTTCAGTTCAGAGTATCAAATATTTGTTAAATTCCCATTGATTTTCAGACACTTTGAGCTGAATCAGTCCTATCTTTTAATGAGTCTACTCAGTGACAGAGACCTAGCCATAGTCAATGCCCTTTTTCTGGAGAATGATTGTGACTCTTGCAAATATATGCTGTAAAGTGTTGACTAAACTCATTCTGGTTACCTGACATGAGGGAATGGTATGTTTATTAAACTACTCTTGTCGATAAAGTGTAACCCTGTAGCCACCCAATTTGGTAACCAACATGAGTTACCAAATTTTGAGTGATTTAAATGATGACTGAAGTGCAAAAAAAGACTAACTTTTTATTGTGTATATTGGGCGTCTTCTTATGTGTATGTAGCACTATACCAGATTGCATTAGGGATCACAAAGAAACATAATCATAATAATAATTATCATTTATTATTGGCCTGGCACTGAGCTAAGTATGCATATTAATTATATGAGGTTGATACTGTTAATAGTTCCATTTTACAAATGAGGCAATTTTGGCTTAGAAAGATCAAATACATTGTTCTAAATAGTGATTTTGACTATAGAAGCAATAGAAACTGAGAAAAAAGGCCAACCAAGAAATGCTCCCTAGAGAAGTTCTTGACTGAATATGGGCTTTAGGGACTCAATTGCCATGGTCTATATTATAGACTTTCAAGGGCCATTAAATTAAAAATGAAAAATTAAAATATGGGGAACCAACATAGGGCCACAAATTTTACGTGTGATCATTTTTCTTTGTAACTGTGACAGAAACGAATTCGACAGGACCAATCTGTTCTGGTTCTTTGTTTTAATTGTCCTTCATGCAGTATGCCAGTAAAAGTGGAGGACCTCTAAAGCTATTTCTGATTTCCTGGGAAAACTGAGAGAAGCTGAGGAATAGTAGCTAAGTGGATCAATCCAGGAATGATGATTGATCAAAATGATGGTGACTTCTTCATTCCTTCTTTTAACTAATATAGATTAAATTCTTGGGCTCCAAAATCACTGCAGACGGTGACTACAGCCACAAAATTAAAAAATGCTCCTTGGAAGAAAAGGTATGACAGCATGTTAAAAAACAGAGACATCACTGCCAACAAAGGTCCATATAGTCAAAGCTGTGGTTTTTCCAGTAGTCACGTATGGATGTGAGTTGCACCATAGGAACGCTGAATGCCAAAGAATTGATACTTCCGAATTTTGGTGCGAGAGAAGGTGCTTGAGAGTCCCCTGGACAGCAAGATCAAACCAGTCAATCCTAGAGGAAGTCAACCCTGAATATTCATTGGAAGGACTAATGCTGAAGCTGAAACTCCAGTACTTCAGCCACCTGATGAGAAGACTGTCTGCAAAAGACCCTGATGCTGGGAAAGATTGAGGGCAAGAGAAGAGGACAACAGAGGATGAGATGATTGGATGGCATCATTGACCCAATGGAGATGAGCTTGAGCAAACTCAGGGAGATGGTGAAGGACAGGGAGTCCTGGTGTGCTGCAGTCCATTGGGTTGCAAAGAACCGGATATGAGTTAGCAACTGAAGACCAACATCCGGTGCTGTGCCAACCTCTATGCAAAGTCCTGGAAATGTAAAACAGCCACTGTCCTTATTCTTATGGAGTGTAGTGGAGGAGCCAGACATTAATTAAACAAGTACATAATAACAAAATAAGTTAGGTGATCTGAAGAAAACATGGATATTTTGAGGGTCTGTAACTGAGGAACCACACCTGGGTGGATGTCAAGGAAGGTGTCCATGTGGAGAGGATACTTGAAGTGAGATCTGAAAGATGAGAAGGAGTAGAAACAGATGTGTGTTGTGGAGCAGGGAGCAGAGAAGGGAGGGCTTTCTGGGCAGAAGGAACTGTGGTTACCAAGATCCTGATGAAGACTTTTGTGGAAAAAATGAAAAAAATCAACAATATGAGTAGGTAAGAGAAGGCTGAGGATAAACCACACACAGGGCCTTGAAGCTCTTGGTTGACAATTTTTATAATATTTAGTATTAAAGATATTGTTTCAGTATCTTCGGGCCCCCAGATGAGGCTAGTGGCTCTCTCTTAATGAAATTGAAAGTGTTAGGTGCTCAGTCGCGTCCGACTTTGTGACCCCATGGACTGTAGCTCCTTTGTCCATGGGATTCTCCAGGCAAGAATACTGGAGTGGGTAGCCATATCCTTCTCCAGAGGATCTTCCCAACCCAGGGATTGAACCTGGGTCTCATGCATTGCAGGCAGATTCTTTACCATCTGAGCCTCAATGAAAGCCCTAATTCTAATGAGGTCAGTGGCTAATTCTAATTCTTGTTTTCATATATATCATAAAGTGTTTTTCTCTACTTTCAAGATTTTCTCTTCACCATAGTTTGACGATGATGTGCATAAATGTGACTTTCTTTGTATTGATTTTGCTTGGTGTCCTATGATCTTTTTGAATCTGTGCAATCTTGTACCATATTTGGGAAAATTGCATCTATTATTTCTTCAAATATTTGCTTTTTTTCCATGCCTTCTCTTGTTTATGGGACTTCAATTATAAAAGGCATTTTATGCATTTGATTTTTTTCATAAATCCCAGACATTTTATTTTTTAAATTCCTTTTTTCCCTCTGTTCTTCAGATTGAATAATTTCTATTGATCCATCTTTATGTTTAGTAACTTTACTCAGTCACCTCCATTCTTTGTTTAATCCTATCCAGTGAGTTTTTAATTTCAAATACTATAATTTTCAGTTCTGGAATTTCCATTGAGTTATTGTTTTTATAGTTTCTATTTCTGTGCTGAGATTTACTGTCTCTTTCATTATGATCATATTTTTCACTATATTCTTGAGCGGAGTTATGACACTCACTTTAAAAATCCTTGAAGCTTAATTCCAGCATTAAGTCTTCTAGGGATTGGTCTCTACTGTCTGTCTCTTCTCTTAAGAATGGGTCATGCTTTCCTGTTTCTTTGAAAATCAAGTAATTTTGGATTGAAGCCTAGTTATTATGAGTGATATGTTATATAAATTGTGGGTTCTTATATGGTCCTCTGAAGAGCATTGTGTTTTTTTTCCGTTGGGTAATTTAATTAAACTCACAGTATAAAACTGTCTCCCTAGAGGTGGGAGATCAGCTCTTTCAATTATTTTGGCCTCAGCTAGGAAGTCTGGAGTCTGCCTGTGTATACATGGCTCAAGGTTCACCAGAGAGCTGAGCAAAGATTATAAATATATTTTAGGGTTCTGCCTCTCTGCCTCTCTCTTGTTTGAATTTCCCCCCTCACATGGCAGTAGCTGTATTTCCCCCAAATCTTCGGGCTCTTCAAATCAGCAAGTCTGTGGGTTTCCCTCAGAAATTAAGCTATGAGAATAGTGGATTCTTTCTAAGGAAAGAAAGAAGGTCTTAAAATCATTAAAAAAAAATACAAACAAAAAAAGATAAAGTTTCTTAGCACCATTCTGTTCCTTTGAGTGTTGATTTCCAAATGTTTTAAGCCTGCTTTTGTTCACTTTTCAGTTCCCTTACGTGGCTTTTATTCAGTGTTTGTTCCAGAGTTTATAGTTGTTATCTGTGGGAGATATTTTTCTAATAGGAGATACTTATCATGTTAGAAAAGGAAAGTTTATAGCCTTTGGTAAGGAAGACAGCGGGACAAGATGAACAGAACAAGTGACATGATCAGATAAACACCTTCAAAAAGTACTTTAGATGCAGTGTGGAGAGGAGACCAGAATGAATGGAGAAGACCAGTATGGAAACCACTGCTGAAGTCCACATGAAAAATGATGTTTATCCTGCACTAGGTGGTGGCAGTGGAGGCTAGCAAGATGCTTGGATTTGAGAGATTGCTTCAAGGGAATGTTGATAAGACTTGGTTCATAGATGAGATATATGGATGGAGAAGCAAGAATCAAGGATAGTTGATGCCTAGATTTTTGGCATGTATCACTGGATATTTGGGTGCCATTCCTGAAAGAGTGAACCCTGGAAAAGATGCACAAGTGAAACAGAGAAGGAAATGTGAGTCTGAGATATTTTAAAATATGGAGGGTGGAGAATGACTCATAGATGGCTTAAAGCCTCTAGGATTAAGATATGAGAAGAATAATGGGGCCACTGACAGAAATGAGGTCTAATGGCAACATGATAGTGAATGTATTTAATCTTCCTTTAAATATTGAGAAGGCATTTTGGAATCTAGCAGTGCCTGGGTGTCATGGAAGTACTTTGGGGCCACAGTTGTGATTATTATTTGTCATAGTAATGTGTCTACACAGAAGTGTGGGTCACTTGGAACTCTGGTTGGAAAAATGCCAGAAAAAAACAAGTGTTTTTTTTTTGTAATTACTCCTACTGTATTAAATATAATGCCATGAAGGAGCATTTCTCTGCCAAAGATTCAGGTACACCTTGGCTATAGCTCAGTTGGTAAAGAATCCAACTGCAATACAGGAGACCCTGGTTCGATTCCTGGGTCAGGAAGATCCCCTGGAGAAGGGATAGGCTACCCACTCCAGTATTCTTGGGCTTCTCTTGTGTCTCAGCTGGTAAAGAATCCACCTGCAATACAGGAGACCTGGGTTCAATCCCTGGGTCAGGAAGAGCCCCTGGAGAAGGGAAAGGCTACCCACTCCAGTATTCTGGTCTGGGGAATTCCATGGACTGTATAGTCCATGGGGTCACAAAGAGTCAGACACTGAGCAACTTTCACTTTCACTGGCTAGATAATGTCCTTTGCTTATGTGGTATCTTTTCTTACTGTCGAGTTGTTTAACATAGGTATTAACCATGTTTCCAAACCAACTTTGTCATAAAGACTTCTTCAATATTGTATAATTAATAATATAACTATTAAGGTCCACAGTAATTGGTTGTCAGTTGACTCCTGCTGTGGTCTGAGTTTCCAAAGATGTAAAAGCATAGAAATTTTTATGAAAATTGCAAAAGGGCAATTGTTCCTTCATTACAGGACAGAAGCACTGAGTGAGGTAACTTTAAAAGTCACTTCAATATTCATATGATGAATTCAGTTGCCATGGAAATAGGCATCGTTATTATTAGCAACCTCCATAATTTCTATACTGGTTTCTCCTCCATGTGAATTACATTTGTATTCATGTCGCCATTATTATGTTATTATAACCAACCTCAAATCCTGATTAAAACTGTTAAGACAGAAACCAAACATTCCTATCAACAAACAGAAATCAAACAAACTGGCATCGGATATATGACTGAATTTTGTGGGTGGTTAACACACAGGGGATTAGAAATTGTATGAACACTCATTGAGGAAAGCAGGGATTTGTAATTAGCTGAGCTTTACTTTTGTCCTCTGTAAAATAAGAATCCTGGGATATGTGATCTTAAGCTCCCAGCTCTAATATTTTATCCTAACATAGTTTACTTAAAATGTACATTTTCTGAGTCAATTAAGTATCGTATGCAAAGCCTGGCTTCCTAAATAAGATTGCAGGTTCTGGACACATCCATTCAGTTACCCATCCTTATAATCAGGAGGTTTTTGTTTAGTGCATAGTAACCATTAGAAAACTAGCTTTAGTTTAAATGCTAATTGGCCAGTCAGGAAATCAAAGGTGAACATACTAATACACAAAATAATTGCAGATTGTGTTAAGCGGTGTGAAGGAAAGCGGAAAGGGTGTTGTGACAAAGTGATGAAAGCATGCAAGGGTACAGCAGGTGGTTAGGATAGACTGCTGTGCAGAAATGATGTTTCGTGGAGATGGAATGCAAGGAAGGGCCAAGAGAAAAGTGCAAAGGCAAAAAGAACAGCAGGTGCAAAGGTCCTTCGTGCAGACTACACGAGGGTGTGGAAGGCAACAAACTGAATTCAGAAGCAGATATGGGAGATGGGTGATGTATTAAACTAAATGTTAGATCTGCAGAAATGTAAGCCAATACCACTTCTCTAAGTACATTTATGTTCTTGTTGAAAATAGTTATTTTACAATAAAAATACGTAATGGATTTTTGTTATTTTCAAAAGAATTATTTTTAAAAATTTCACATATGGTAAGTATGCATATAAAAAAGAACCCACATGAAAGTTCTCTTGGGGCCTCACTTATTTAATGGGATAAAAGACCAAGAGGTTTAAGAACCATTGATCCAGGATTTTCCCAGTACTGGATAAACAATCTCAATCACTATCTCCCAGCTGCACAAGGCTTAAAACTCTGTAAATACCTTCCTCTCCTTCCTGCTCCCTCCTTATCCATTCCGGGTCCTGGGGTGGTGCAGACCCGCACCCCACTGCCCCAGATCTTTTGACATCCTGACCTCTGCCTTCCTGACACCCGCCATCCTGCATCTCCACATCCCAGCCCACTTCCCAGGCACTCTCTGCCATCCCGGACACTCGCCTCTCCAACATACACTGGGCCCCCCAAGTAGGGCTCCCGCATTCCGGACGCCGGCACCCGGGGTCTCCCTGGTCTTACACCCTCCTTCCAGCACGCCTACCCGCCAGGCAGGCTGTGGTGTCGATCCACTTGAGCAGCTGCGCTGCGCTCAGCTCACCGCGGGGGTTGGCGTGCGCAGGCTGGATGGCCTGGCTCATGCGCACCTCCGCGGGCGCCGGCCGCTCCAGCTCCATGGCTCGTCAAGAGTGCGAAGCGACCGGGCCTGGGCGCCGCCTGGCCACCGGCCGGCCCGCCCCAGCTCCAAAGGGCACTGAGCCGCTGTCCCCAGCCCGCATCCCGCCCCTGCGGCACCAGGAGGTGAGATTTAAGGGGCCAGGAATGTCGCGAGGAGAGTGAAAGGGAACTCTTCACTGAATCTGGGGCGACCGAGGTTGGCAAAGCTGGAGCCAGCTCGGGTTTCTCACCTATGAAGTGCACAGAGGACTGTGCAGAGAATTAGTGAGATGAAGTACCAAACTCACGGGCGTGTGCCTGGCTAATGGGACACGGGTGTTTGCCAAGTAAAATAGTGAGGTTACTGTCTGCCTGAAGAACTTGACAAGTGATGGGGAGTTAATAATTAATTAGTTAAATTTTCTCAAGAGAAATGTAGACCTTTCGCTTTAGAAGTTGATTTTTAAAGTATTTAACTTTTCTTTCTTTTTTTCTGCTGTACACTGCCAGGTGGGGTGGGCAATCACTCCTCCCATCCCTAGTTCAAAATCCACCTTCTGGTTCTTAGGATAATATGATGGCTCAAAAAAAGCCCCTCTGTTATTCATCATTTTGTTATGAAATTACCCCACAGGCAAACAAACAGAGGAACTGATTTTTGCTGGCATATCAGAGTCACCCAATAAGGGAAGGCAACCTTTTGATTTTAATGTAGAGAATAAACTGTTGCTGGGTTACAAATGAGCTCAACAAATCCCAAAAGAATTTCTTCTTGATGAGAGAATCTAGAATATTAAATGAGATTTCTCATTGTTAACCTTTAGCACACATAAGCTTTCTAGAGCTGAAATCAGTGATTCTACAAAGCACTCCCCATTAAGGAAACAGTGACACCAGAAAACCTACACCATATTGTAGAGCCATAGATGTGATATTAGAAGGACTGGCTGCATCTGGGAGGGCATTCAGGGGTGAGGAAATGGGTGCCTGGAGGGATGTGTCAGGCAGGCAGCTGATGTGAAGGGGAAGTTAAGGTAGTTGAGCACCTGACTTGAACTCAGGACTCCTGACTTACAAAGTCTAATCGACTCCAACAAATCAGTGCTGCTTTTTCATCCCTTGCAGACGGCCTGCTAAGCCCCAACTTGGAGCATCTGAATGGAGATTCTAGTAATTTTGCTTCTTTTTTAAAAGCACTTTTAACATAAGAGAGGAATGAAGGAAACATGGACTTAATAGCTTTTCAGGATCCCCTGTGGGTAGGTTTCTGTCCCACATGAACTTAAGAATTGGATGCATTCAGTTGGGTACATAGGAAGTTTGACTTCTATAAAATGACTATTTTAAACAAATTAAAACTTATGCTTCCAGGATGGTCCCCTTATAAGTTGATTTTCAAATAACAGTGTTACTACTTTTACCACTTTCATCATTCCTCATTAGAAAGTGCCTCTAGAGTTCTTTATAGCATCTTGGCAGATTGGATTATTACTCAGCAAATACTCACTGCATCGACTGATAACTCCACAGGAGGCGCTTACTGGTGTGTGGCTTGGCCATGTGACTTGGATTTTATAGCATGTGAGGAGGTAACGGTGTACCTGTTTGAACCTAGCCCTTATTTTTAGGGACATCTGACCTCTGCAGTGAGAAGATGCTGTGCCTGAGCCGCTGCCCCATGAGCATCTGGGTGCCGGGCTGCATTCACGTATCGCAGAGCCATTCCAGCCAACCTGCAGACTTGCAGCTTGAAGCTGAGCCATGCAGCAGACATGCAGATGCCTGAATGGGATTTGACTGCTTATTTTTGTCTGTCACTGTGATTGGGGAATTGTTACACAGCAATGTCTAACAGTTACATGTGTGAATTTCATTTATTAATATTTTAGAAAATGTATTAAGTTATTGGAAATAAAATATGTGTTTAGGCTGGGTTTTATTGTTTGGGGTAAAAAACAGTGACTAACATAATAATATATATGTACTTGCTTTATATGCATACTTGACTTTCCAAAATGATTATCTGGAAAAGGACAGCATGTGTCTGTATATGTATGTCTAGGAATGTATGACCAAAGAAGCAGGCAAAGTATACAAAGTCATCATTATGCTTTGTTATATGTATTATCTCCTAATAAGACGTCTTGATTATGGTTTCTTAGCTTTTGTTGGTTTTGCACCAATTTTCAATTTCATAGCCTCTGCCTGAAACTACTGTTCTTATTTTTTTTTAATAGCATCAGCATGTGTGAACATTTGCTATATCCTTTATCTGTCAAAGACATGCTATTATGTTTGAAGAAAAGGCTTCCATTTTCCCATTTCTGTTTAGAGACATCTTTTGAAGATGAGCTGGCTCTGAAGCCAGCTTGATTTTAGAAGGTCATGCGCAAGAGCAGGAGAGCTGTTCAGGAAGAGTAGAGAGAATATGATAATCACTAGAATAATAAGAACATCTTAGAATGTTGGAGTGGGAGGGAAACGAGATAGTCAGACCCCCTCATTCTGGACATGAAGAAATGAGGTATTCACCCTGGGTCACATTGCAAAGTTAGTGGTCAGGCTCTGAGAAAACTGAGAACAAGGAACATGAAATATAAGAAAAGAGAAAAAAAAGTGCTTCCCCTCAAAGCCGACACTCCATCAGAAATTTGAGAGCAAGCAGTTTGTTTGGGAGAAAACTGCAGAAAGCACTTGTAGGAGAGTCAAAGTGTGGTCCCCAGACCATTGGCTTCAGCATCACCTGGGATTCTGTTAGAAAGGCAGAATCGTCCCTCCTCCAGCTTGCTGAGTCAGGAGCTGTGCATTATTACTATTCCCAAGTTGTAAGCATATTAACCTTTGTGAAGAACATGCTGGAGTTATTCCTCCCAGCGAAGCGGGAGCTGGGATTTTTACCCTCCAATTCCCACCCTTCAGTGCTGAGGGCTGCTTCCCAGCTGAAGTCCTCAGCACTTGTGATTTCAGGGCGAGAGCAGCTCTGTGCTGAGGGCTGTGCCTCCATAGCGAGGAAGGAGGCGGTCAGCTTGTTCAGAAGCTGGGATGGAGAGTGCCGAGGGGCTGCAGGCAAGGCGCCCAGAGCAGGATACTTTCTGTCCTGAATGGATGCTCAGAGACTTCCCAGGGGCAGCTGGGAACTTTTTCTTCTTATGACATGAACCCCAGGCGGAGGGTCTGGTAACAACATATTTCATACAGAGATGAAATTTATTAGCTAGCAGTCTCTATCTCCACCTTTGGTATAGGTTAGGGAAGGTGCCAGCTCAATGTTTTCAAAGTCAAATTTATAGGGATGTGGTTCAAAGTGTAAATATGAAGTTTCTAAACAAAAAAATTCAGAGTTGGTTTCCATATATTTCAAGTGCCAGCTTATTGCCTGGAGTGCCGTCTTTGCTCCTGAACCCTCTACTTGGGGTCACACTGACCTTAGGAAATTGGACTGTCCCATTTAGCATCTGAAGCCTCAAGCCAACCTTCCTCCTGTTTGTTCCCGGGCCTTCTGTGTCCGAAGCCCTCAAACAGACAAGCGTTAGGTGGACAAGCCAGGTGTCACCTGATGTGGGGAGTGCAACACTTTATTTTTTGAACAAAAGCCATGTGTGTTAAGTCATTTTTTCACTTCACAGGGTTTGCTTGGCCTCACCTTCAGGTGGCGCAGTAGTAAAGAATCTGCCAGCTAGTACTGGACAGGCAAGGGACACAGGTTCAATCCCTGGGTCTGGAAGATCCCCTGGAGTAGGAAATGGCAACCTACTCTAGTATTACTTGGAAAATTCCGTGGACAGAGGAGCCTAGCAGGCTACAGTTCAGGGAGTCACGAACAGTTGGACACGACTGAGTACACACACACACCTTCTTCCCGGACCTGCTCCGTGGAGGCTCCCGGATACCACTGCCACTGCTTGACAATATGCTGGACTCCAGGGTTTGCTTTCAAATATGGAGTCAGCTTTGCATCTCTGGAATAGCCCCACTTGGTCACGGGGTTTAATTCTTTTTACGTGTTGCTGAATTCTCTTTGCTAATATTCTGTTAAGGATTTTTACATTTACAATTTTGAGAGAAATTAGTCTGTTCTCTCTAATTTAGTGTCTTTGGTTTTGGTGTCAGGTTCATAAAATAAACTGGGAATAATAATAATAAACTCTGTATTCTAGAAGAAATTCTTGTTCAAACATCTGTTAGAATTCTGCAGTGAAGCCATCTGGGCCACTCATAACACGCTATACAGCTCTATAAAGTATATTATTATTATTAATATATTATTATTATTATATTACTAATTACCATTTTGTAGATGAGGAAACTGAAGCAATTTGCCCAAGATCACACAACTAGGAAATAGTAAAGCCAGGATTCAAACCCAGTAGTCTTGCTGCTGTCTCAGCTAGGCTGAGAAGGTGACCAGTGGGGTCCAGTTTGATTCAGTCACTCAGTCATGTACAACTCTTTGTGACCCCATGGACTGCAGCATGCCAGCCTTCCCTGTCCATCACCAACTCCTGGAACTTACTCAAACTCATGTCCATTGAGTTGGTGATGCCATCCAACCATCTTATCCTCTGTTGTCCGCTTCCTCCTGCCTTCACTCTTTCTCAGCATCAAGGTGTTTTCCAAAGAGTCAATTCTTCACATCAGGTTGCCAAAGTATTGGAGTTTCAGCTTCAGCATCAGTCCTTCCAATGAATATTCAGGACCGATTTCCTTCAGGATTGACAGGTTGGATCAATTAGGAAATGAGAGATGACAGTTTACCTAGATCTGTCTAACTTCAAAGGTCATGCTTCTTCTAGTCCAAGCTAGCTTCATTCATTCATTTATTCATTCAATCAGTATATATTTATTGAGTGCCTACTGTGTCCCAGGGACTGTTCGGGGTATTGGATAAATGAATGATGAATGAAATAGATTTAGTCCCCAACTTTATAGAGTTCATTGCTTAATAAATAATGTGTGAAAGTGCTACAAAAATGTAATACATTCTAATAAGTATGAAACAATGATAAACATGTATGGAAAC